ACGTTGTTTTTCTTCTGCGCATTCGTCCTCGCCACTGCGCTTGGACGACACGACAACAGAATGATCCGCGCCAGGTGGGTCGCCGCGTTTATGTGCGCGGTTTATTCGGGATCCCGGGTTCAGCTAAAATCGGCGAGATGAATAATGTATAATCTGTGTGACTCACCCACCCACCTGCTTGCCAATTATATTCCTGTATTAGGTAGTACAGCAGGTAGGTTTGTTCAATATCTGCATGGGATTTTGAGTGCTCTTCATATGCCTGGCTTTTCTCGAGGTAATTCAGTTTCCATACAAACAGAATCACGAAAACATTGCCATACATCATTGGGCATGACATTTGATAAATAATTATGTTTTGTTATCGCGATTGTAAACACAGTACAATAATCACATGTGATTGATTTTACATTGAGCATTGGTGAAATTAACAAATTAATAAACACTTCAATGTGTTATCCATTATAGTGCAGCTTCCAGGGATTAATTTCAACCAGAGCTGGTTTGAAGTTAAATAAACTAGATTCGAAGCTTTCGTGACTGCAGGAATTACTCTTTGGTTCTTTCGGTAAAGTCACGTAGAAATAAATTTAATCAAATAATAATAGAATACGACGTTTCGATTGCAACACAAGCAACCATCATCAGGTACAAATGAAAGAGAAAGCAAACCTAATAGACTTGGAAATATAATGCAATACAACACAGAGAGTCGGCTAACATAGCAGTCAACACCCCACCTGGTTGATTACGTTCTTCCAAAGATTGCTAAATTTGAGAGAGAGACAAAACACAGACACGGAGACACAGAGAGAGAGACACACACATAGGCACACAGAGAAACAACGCCTCTGTGTCGAGGCCTTAAATAGAGAAAGGGGGGCAGAGAGAGAGGGGGGGTAGAGAAATTACTGTTATGTTAGCCGCCTCTCTGTGGTATTGCATTATATTTCTAAGTTTACTAGGTTTGTTTTCTCTTTCATTTGTACCTGATGATGATTGATTGTGTTGCAATGGAAACGTCGTATGCTATTATTTGATTTATTATTTTCTCTTTCTACGTGACTCTACCGAAAGAACCAAAGAGAAATATAGTAAACTTGGAAATATAACGCAATACAACACAGAGTGTCGGCCAACAAAACAGTCAACACCCCACCTGGTTGATTACGTTCTTCCAAAGATTGCTAAATTTGAGAGCGATACAAAACATAGACACGGAGACAAACAGACAGACACACAAGCAGAGAGAGACTCACACAGAGACAAACAGAGAGAGACACACACACACATAGGCACAGAGATATGCTTTTGTAAATGAATAAGAGTTGCGGGGAGAAATTGTCTGGCTTATAGATGAAGAAGCAAGCAGGTATGCGGAGCTACGTCTCCGAGATAAGTGGACTCGCATTCCCAGTTGATGGCCAATATCAGCTATTGGGGGAACTGCTGCAATCGCAGGGGGAAAAGCCAGGGCTATTTAAAACCAGAGGAAGCGGCGAGTGAATTTGCGATTTCGGGGTGTGATGACCCCTGCATCACAACAGCTCGGCAGCTCACACAGATCGTCGCATCCTGTTGCATCCTGCATTGGTCCGGGATACGGGTTTGAAGTGTGAACCACCCTCTGTGTGGTCCTTTGAGACACGTCTGAGGGAGAGGGTTTGTTTTAACTGTTGAAATTGCAGTATTTAAATAGGAGCAGTACAGACGTGATCTGCTTAGAGTTTAGAACGTAGCGTGGATGATTTTGCAATAGGACAGGAATAAGCCGAGCTATTGTCACACCATTATTGCTTCTGTTAAATTGCCACTTGGCATTTGTGTTGTACCCCGAAGAATGCAGACATGAAGCCTTTTTTATTACCACCAGAATAATGGGATGATAATACGCTGTAATAACACTTCTCCTAATGTTTCTCCTTCCACTTTTTATTAACCGATTTAGTGCACACACCAGCATTTTATTAGAGGGTGGGAGGGAATACTAACTTTAGGGGGAGGTGGCAGCAGTTCCAGAAGTCTTATAAAGGTGTCTGCCTTTTTTGAGACACCGGCCAAGGAAACTTCGCAATGATCTGACCTTGTAAGAGGGCCTTAGTAACAGCCAAAGAGGGCAGTTCCATGATTTCGGATGTATATTTCAGATACTTTACAGATGCGCGTAATCAATTGGTATAATCATAAAGTGCCTTATATCGTGGGTATAAATGTCAACCAATTAGGATTGGAATTCAGATAGGAAATATAAAATCCACCTTTCCCAATAATGGAGAAATTCTCATGAATAAAATACCATGGTGTCAACACGTACCAAGTCAAACTTACTTCTTCACCAACTGGGATTGTGCTGGTACATGCAGTTTCGTGTACCTGTCCATCCATTGACTAATTTGATATCTGATCCATATTTTCTAAAGTATAGCTAATTACCTTCAAATGGACACTGTATGATTATGATTTATGACTTTTGACTGTGAACATGCCTCATTTGTAGCGCTTCCCCATAGTTCTCGACAGCTTCAATTAATTTTGCTGCTTCACATTTTTGTTACAGCCGACACGTAACTTTGTACACCTCCCAAACGGTTACTTAATTAAATGCTTAACACTATATACTAAAGATATAGAGCGATGAAATCCGTTTGTGTGCAGTTGCAAGGTGGATTATTATTGATTATTACATCACAGAATTGAGAGATGATGACAGCTCTTGATGACGCCTTCATCTAGCAGTGGATTGACCATGGCTGATGATGTTGACCTTGTCTTGGTTCATTCATCATTATCACGATCCATGAGCAGATTACCCATAGGTGTATACTGCATATTTCGTCATTTGTTTCCACTTTCCTCTGTCTTGTGCCAAAATGCTCAAGCAGTGCACATCTTTCTGGCACCAATCTCTTATGTGGTCGTCAAAGCCATTCTCTTTTCGGTCTTCCTCTCTTTCCGGTTCCTTCCATTTTTTTCGGACAACACACATTCATTCTTCTTGTTGTTTGCCCATCTTATTCTACTATTATAAATAACAAAGGGGAAATTATCAAAGGTTCTCGATACAGAATTTCAGGTTTATTATGCAACACTTGATTGGCAAAAGAGAGAATCTATCGCATGCAGTTTTTTGTTGAGCTGTACCACAGAAAATTCGTTTTTTTACAATTCAAACCCACAAATCCGGTTTGCATGATGCGGGGTTTAGCTGCATAAATGACTCTGGGCGATTAGATGTAAGAGATGAAAACTGAAATTCCATTTTGGGCTGTCATTTAATCAGCAGTGACTAAAGTACTGTCCCGATCGGTTTTGGCATGAGTTTTTAGCAATTTCACTCCCGTTAAAATGACCTCTTTTCACCGTCATGCTCTCTGCCTCTTCTTTCTTTGAGAACTTTGGTGGCTGATTATGATAAAATGCCTCTCAGGCAGGGTATTTTTGGAGTTTTAATATTCCTGGTTGTAAAATTTAAATAGGTGTTTGTATATATTGTTACAGTTCTATCGATATATTTCATAATGTCTCGTGGTTAAATTTGTTTTATCTTTTTTGAGGGTGTGCGACAAGAGCTTTGGAACCTTACGCTGCGGGGCTAGTGTGGACCATGCTCTACTTGCGGCAACGTCACCACCTTGAGAGTTCCGGGTATCAGAATCTGGCCTGGGCTTCTCGGTTGACTCGGCCTTGAATGCGTACCGGTTTACTGTATCCAGCATGAGCCCCGGGGAGAAGAAAAGTGGTGACCCCTAAAACCCCCGCAACATGTGTGTGTGTGCCACGTTTTGAGACTCGGGAGGCAGTTTCGTCCAGCACTTTGCCCGAACATGCGGTGAGGCTCAATGTGCAATCTTTTGCACGTATGTGGCCAAGTGAGTGCTGCTGAAAGTGATTTTTTTTTTTACAGCCAGTGTGCCACGACCCTTTTGCAAGAAAGTATTTTTGGTATGGAATGCAAATACCCTGTTCTACTGTAATGTCTCGGGTATCGCCAAAGAAGAGCAACTTTTAACGCCAAACTTTATTGCAGTGTGCTTAATTTTGTCAAGGTTACACAAGTGTATCCACGTTCAGGTGTAAGGTAAAATTGCATGTGCAGACTTGTTAGTTCTTCCACTAACCACTTTGGACACACTCGGTAAGGGTGGATGTGAAAGCGCCTGCACAGCCTCATTGTGTACAACATTTATCAAAAGTAAAACTGCAGAATCAGAAACTTTATTTATACTGGAGGAATCCGATGAGCTATGAAGCTGTTTTTCCACAGATGCCTAGTATTTTCACAGATGTCCAAGACGGGTTTTCCTTGCAATCCAGGTCTGAAACCTTTTGAATGCTGGAGGAGAGTTCTGGTTTGTAATACCAAAGGCTGAATTTCTATGTGGGTAGCGTGTCATTGAATCAATATGCAATCTGATTTTCCTGTTCACCTCTTAAATCAAAATTGCTTAACAATGCCTAATTTAGATTTGTCGCAGTAGTTTCCATTGTTAATGAAACATAGTGCAGTTAAATTTCAAAGGATCTTATACCACGTATCTAAACTTGTTTCCTGTTATCTATTTAAATTCAGTGCAATACCAAGTGCCAACTAGATCATTAATTTACGGCATCTTTTACCTCTGTTAAAAGTATGACCATCGTCAGTATATTTATATTAGAATTCTAGTTTGTTAAAAAGAGTATGTAGGTCTGAAACATTTTCGAAGTGAAGAAAGCAAAATTACTTTTCTATTGACATCATACTGCTCTTCTTGCCAGGCAGTGTTGAATGTTGCATATGGTGAAAAGACCCTGAACTGCTCTTACACATTGTCTTGATGACTGACCTTTATCGATGGCTCGCATTTTTAATTAATTTATTTTTGTCATTTTAACGATTTTTGTTTTCAGGTCTAATTTCATCCCTCGGCAGGACATAAGGAGGCGATTCCATTTTCCCCAAAAGTCCGCCCTCTGTTGTGACGTTTTGTTCACTTGTGCGTCTTGGTGCTGTCGCACAGCTCTGATCGAGTGGCTGAAGGATGAAAAAAGCGGAGCCCCTGTGGCTGCAGGTTCCAGGGAGGGAGGTGCTCAAGGTAAAGCTAGCGCCCACAGTGGCCCCTGCTGTTGCTGCCTGCCCAGCTCTTCTGCAGATCTTCCAGTCCTGTCCTGCCAACAGCCCTCATCTCTTCTGCGTCTTCGCAATTTACCTTCCGCATCTCTTGACCTTTGCGCGCAGCAGTGACGTCGAGTGTGGACGACGAACAGGAGCGAAGCAACGCAAGCTGCGTTTTTTTGAGAGAGAATAAAAACGTGTAAGCAGGGCTCGCACAAAAGCGCTCCATTGCTGGGCGCGTGACGGTGCATCGATTTTGTCGACTCAAACCGACTGTTTGCGCTCGTGATGCGCAATGAATCGCAAGAGCAAGTGAGTGCAGTTTGTGCGAATTGCACGATAACGCGAAACATTTTGGCCAACGGGCTGGACAAAACTTTTACAAACACGAGAGAGGAAAAAAAATGACGAGCAATTTGTCGATGCCATTTGTTTTTATTCTATCAATTCAGTACAGTAATTGTAAATTGCTTTCAAAATTCGGGTGTGCCCGCTCATTGCGTTGCGGTTTCTGCTTTGTGAATGCGAACGCACGTGGGTTGGTTTCAGGGTCCATCCTCTCTCCCTGCCGGTGGTTGGGCCTGTGCTCGCTGCAGGTCTGTGGTTTTAGTTTGTTCCTACTTTGCCGTTTCATCTTTCCAACTAGCGGTGTCTGTGGCTTGTTTTCCATTTTCTTCATGTTGGTGAAAATCAGGTTCTTTCAGACTCTTGAGAGATTCTCGTTGATTCACGCTTCCTATTCTCTTGCCGAGCATGACGATGAATCGGTTTATTTGCTGTGATTGCGGTTATTGTGAAGCACTGTTGCAGTTGTTTTCTAATAAGGCTGCGGTTGATTATAAACCTTTTGCATATATGCACTTCGGCGTGATATGCAGGTATTTATCTTTTTCATGGAGTTTCAGAATTTGTATGACCACTGCCAGCTCGGAGCCAAATCTCTGAATGCGAATCGGTGAATGCATTTTGGTGATCACCTATCAACTTATAAGTAGATGAGAAAAATGTAAACCACACATCATATGTTCGTTAATTTCTCAATCCGCTGAATGTGAAAACAAATTAACCTGTTAAATTTGCAATGCATTTTCACACATCTTATACAGTCGTAAAGCATTATTTTAGTGATAGATTTGGTCAATAAACCCTCAGAGGCTTTCTAAACAATTTAGTTGAAGTTTATTTTTGCCAAGCAACGGATGTCACTAAATGTGTTTGTTAAGATTAAGACATCTGTAGCGTGTGTAAATACTGAGGCACACACACTATATTGTGGAGGCAATGCGTTTAATAAACAACTTACTGATCACTGGGTTCTATTGTTAAGTATGACTATACTGTCCTAGACTGTTCACTATGTGTGGGAGAGTTGGCTATCACCGGGTCGGTAGCACACTTGTAACGGACCCACGGTTTCCCGCCCGAACCTACACGAAGAGCGAAGAGCAGAGTTCTCTTGAGTGGATCCCCAAACGAGCTCCGAATCTTGACTTAAAGCTTTCGTGACTGCAGGAATTCATATTCTTTGGGTCTTTCGGTAAAGCCACGTAAATAGATCAAACAATATATATTTTTTTAAGAAATAGCAATATCACGACGTTTCGATCGCAACACAAGCAATCGTCATCAGGTGAGAAATATCGCAGCAGCCCGCGATATTTCTCACCTGATCACGATCGCTTGTGTTGCGATCGAAACGTCGTGATATTATTTTCTTTTAATATTTGATCTATCTACGTGGCTTTACCGAAAGACCCAAAGAATATGAGCCCCAAATCCCCTCAACGCTCCCCCTTTATCCCCTGGCCGCCTTCGGCTACGCTCCCTCCTGTGTCAAGACCCGAGCTCTCCGCTCCCGGTCACGTGTCCTTTCGTCCTCCAATGGAGGCTTCCGTTGCTCAGCGCCCCTCCAGCTCTGTGATTGGCGCAACAGCGTAGAGACCGCGTTATGGGTCTCTAACACATCCACTGCCAAAACTTTGCTCTCAACGGGATGTTTAAGGTCCTCATTGATGTAAGTCATCGCGGATTGTGCATCAGCGTGACCTACATCATCAACATCCACCATAATCACACATCTGTCAGAGGGACTCAACTGGAAAACACAGCACAAAAACGTGTGTTGAGGATAGCTATTGAAAACCGACTAGAATCAAAACGATTACATGTAGTCAGAGTCGAGGGCTGGGTTGTGGAGGGCTTTTGGGAAGCTGAAATTGATCGTCACGAGACAAATATCTTATCAGAAACTTGTTTTAAAAAAAACTTAAGTAGCGTTTGGCAAAAGCTATCGAATTTCCACCCGTCCCCGGAGAATGCATTTGCATTTATTTCAGCACGGCATGCTTCGTGTAATTGAACAAAACATTTATTGATGCTCCTGTGGTGGCAGTGGTGCCCAAATCATTATAAAAAAACTCAACACATTCGTCAATAGCACTGCCTTGTAAAGAAGACATATATAATCCACGTCATCTCTCTGGCCTCTATATGTATGTGCTATGAAGAAGGGTCATTTCCTGAAATGTCACCTATTATTTTTTTCCGTTTAAGGCCACAGTGTTATTGATAAATGCGTTGCGTTTCTTGTTAGCAGTGTAATTGAAATGTTTTTACGTCACCACCTTTTATTTGCCTGGAAACTGCAAGTGAATCTGTCTTCTCCAATGAAAGGCATTTTTCCAGGTGTCAACACTGGATAAGGAGCTCAGCAGCGGTGTGCGTTGATGCTTTGCTGATAACATCTCACAGCGTAACTGAACTGGTCCCCTCGTATTGAACCCACACACATTCACGTGCAGTGTTTACTCTCTCTCTCTTCATGTTGTTTTTGCGCAGGAGAAGATTTCGATGCCAGCCCACTGCGGAGGACTTTTAAGTCGAAAGTCCTTGCTCATTATCCGAACAACGTGGAATGGAACCTCTTTGACCAGGATGCAGTTGGCATGGTAAGGCATGGAAAAAACACGGGAAACAAAAAATGGCATTGCAAAACATGCAGCGCGCAAAGCAGTTTTCATTATGAATACAATATCTGAAGGTGAGTGATGCCAATAAAAGCAATGACTATGGACAATGTGTTTGTGCATACCTTTGTGTTTTTATCTAATTTTATGCATATCGATTTTTTTCGTTATAAACCGAAACCTGCATGAATACACATTGGGGTACGCTATCAGCCGCTCGAGGATGGCTGTATTTCCTTGCTTACATTATAGGGTGCATTAAAAGTTTGTTAAACTTGAATTACAAATCTTAGTGAGCTGAACACACATCTGTGAACGTGTCACCACAATATATAAATGTATACATGTACTAATATACACGTGGACAGAGCAATGTTCTGCATGCAGTAGAGACTTCTAGGATGTGCACTGAGAAGCATACACGTATCAAAGCCCAGTAATTATACGACATGAGGGCAACGTTGGCATGTTGATGGAAGTGTTGGATCAACGATTGACCCAACGTTCCATGTTTACTGTGAACCTGTCTCCCTCCTGCTCCCATAATCAAAATATTTAGTGTGGTCCCTGATTTTAATATTAAATCCTACAACTCTGCATTAAATATTTGTTCATTTTTCTTGAGGAATCGGCTTGCGTGGCTCTGTGGTAATTAAACCTGTTAAAACCAATTTAGTCTCATTTTAATCAGTTTTATAATCAAATCGTGTAAGATATTTCTCCGATGCGTTCCTCCAGAGCATGTCTGGTTTATTGAATTAGTCGTAGACGTCATCTTTTATGACGGAGAAATAAATGGCAGATTGGTGTGATTGTTTCTAATGCTACACTGGGGTTAAAACGTGGTAAATATTTAATTAACTGTCATGCGTTGATGAACCACGCGCATTTGTATTCCAGTTGTGCGCCGCAGACAATTGGGGCAATATGGCCCACAAATTAAATTCCTAAGTATCAAATAATTTATGCGGATGTGTGCTTTCAGGAAGCTAATACATATTTATGTTACGCCCATGGCAATGGATTTTCTCTCCGCCACAACCTTCCCCTTTTTACCAAAAAAAAAAACTTCAGAGGCGTTTGCTTTCGTGTCATCCTAAATGCTCCAAAACTAAAAAAAAAAACTGGTTCTATACATTCATGTTAAGTCGCACTCGTCCTGGTTATTTAAGCGAAGTTGAGCAGTAACGACACTTCATGGACTGTGGGAAATCCATCCCACGAGAGTGTTTTCTGGTCATAACCCACAAGTGCTGTGTGCTCACGATTAATTACTCAGCGTGCTCAGCATTTTAAGGAGGAAATTACATCAAAGGTTGGAGCTGGGTAAATTGTGGTTGGTCATTTTTTACAACATAATTTGATTCATTTTGACTTTTTCTCTATTTTTTTTTCAAAGTGAAGTGCTGTATTTTGCGTGAGCTATCGTTTGTGCTTGAAACAACAGCTGCCCCATGATTTTATGTTTCTTACAATTATCGTGAATGAATTATTACGTGTTGTGATGCAGTCCTTGTGTAGATGAAGCACAAACACTGCCTAGGGCTAGCCGTCAAAATACGACTATTAACAAACAATAATCTATAACATATTCTTTGGGTCTTTCGGTAAAGTCACGTAGATAGTTTTTGTTATTTGCTTTAAACCTATCTACGTGACTTTACCGAAAAAACCCAAAGAATATGAATTCCTACAGTCACAAAAGCTTTAAGTTAAGAAATAATCTATAACGTTTCTCACAACAAATGTATGTAAATGTTGAATACACGATGTAACACAATTTTTGTTCCTGGGTAGTAAGTGTTATTTTGTATTTGCTTATGCCTTAAAAGAATAGAAAATGGCTATTGTAACCAGGACAGTGATATGTAGAAATGTACCTATTTTCAATGAGAAAACGGGCAAATTTGTGTCTTTTCGTTCACATAGTCAGAAAAAAAACACATGAATCAAAATTTACATGTATTTATACTAAAGTAATACAAAAAATACTTTGAAAGATTTAGAAGTGAGTAGTTTTTCGAGATTAAGTCGCACTCGTCCTGTAAATCACTTTCACGAATCAGCCCCCAAATGTAGCCTCCCATCATGTTCTCGTTGGTAGCGGCGTTCAAAGTCCAGTATATCCTGGTGGAAGCGCTCGCCTTGCTCCTCCGAGTACGTTCCCATGTTCTCTTTGAATTGATCAAGATGAGCATCAAGGATATGGACTTTGAGGGACATCCTACAGCCCATTGTGCTGTAGTTCTTCACGAGAGTCTCAACCAGCTCCACATAGTTTTCGACCTTGTGATTGCCCAGGAAGCTACGAACCACTGCGACAAAGCTGTTCCAAGCCGCTTTCTCCTTACTAGTGAGCTTCTTGGGGAATTCATTGCACTTCAGTATATTCTTTATCTGTGGTCCGACAAAGACACCGGCTTTGACCTTTGCCTCAGACAGCTTAGGGAAGAACTCTTGAAGGTACTTGAAGGCTGCCGACTCCTTATCTACAGCTCTGATAAATTGTTTCATAAGACCCAATTTGATGTGCAGTGGTGGCATCAGCACCTTCCGGGGGTCCACCAGTGGCTCCCACTTGACGTTATTCCTCCCCACAGAGAACTCGGTCCGCTGTAGCCAGTCTCGCCTGTGGTAGTGCGCCTTGGTGTCTAAATTATTTGTCGTCATTTTTGTATTACTTTAGTATAAATACATGGAAGGATGTTATTGGAAGGATGTTATTAACCAGGTAAAGTCATAACTGTCTGTGATGCTTCCATCCTACCTGCCTATGTTAACAGTTGTTTCCGAGTCTCTGAGTTACATTACCTTGTTAAATGTCTTTACATTAACAGGCCAAATGTCTCACTAACATAGCTGCTGCTCCCTTTTCCTCGATGCGGCGGTGTCGCTCGTTGTTTAATAGGCTGAATGTCTCTCATTAACACAGCCGCTGCTGTGGGAGCCGTCTCACATTGACATGCTAATCTCTAATCTCGAGCAATACAATGGCTTCTTCAGCACCGTAGCCGTGTGGTTCCATTAACAGATTGGCATGCTAATCTCTAGCAACACAATAGCCGAGGTATACCTAGCTCTGCGATCTTACATTTACTTGCAAATTCCATCTCTAGCCCCGCCCACTTACTTTTGGGTTGTACCCATCTGAAACTTTGATAATCTTTGGCTGCAGTAGCTCTCTCGCTATATTTCTTCCTGCCTCAGAAGTCCGCCTGCTGTATTTTTCACCTGAATACGATTGCTTGTGTTGTGATCGAAACGTCGTGATTTTTTAAATTATTTTATAATTTTTCTATCTACGTGACTTTACCGAAAGACCCACAGAGTATAAATACATGTTTATTTTCATTAATATGTTTTTTTCAGACTTTATGTGAACAAAAATACACGTTTCCTCATTGCAAATGGGTAAATTTCAAAATATCAATGTCCTGGTCACAAAAGCAAAGTTTGTGGGGAATAATAGCCATTTCCTGTACTTTTGAGGCATAAGCAATTAGGAAATAACACTTACTACTCAGGAACAAAAAATAATTGTTACACACTGTTATTTTAGCAATAACTGCTGCATTACATACTTGCAGCAGTCCCGGGTATTAAATTATTTATTCTCCATGAATAGAACAAAAAACATAAAGTGAGTGCATTGGCAGTGCTGCACAAACCAGATAGGGGCTATCACAATTACCACAATCGTGGACATCTCATAAAAAATATACATGTCCTACGTGACCTTTAATTCATTTTCTACCCTTTATTCACTCTTCTTCCCCCCCCCCCCCACACACATTTCTGCAGCTGTGCATGCCCCGGGGCCTGTCGTTCCGGACGCAGGCCGACAGGCGCGACCCGGAGTTCCACTCGTTCCTTATCACCCGCGAGGACGGCTCGCGCACCTACGGCTTTGCGCTCACCTTCTTCGAGGAGGTGCGCAGCGAGCCGATCCGTGAGGCTATGCAGACGCTGTACGCCATGCACCGCGCCGAGCAGGCGGGCGGAGGCGGGTGCGGAGGCAGCGGCGGCCCCTACGGCGCCCCGTCGCCCGGCTGCAGCTCGGATTCGCTCGTCACGTTGGCCGAGAGCACGAGCAGCGACTTTGGCGACACCGACTCGGCCACCGGACTCTCGTCGTCCCTGCTCAGGATGCGGCACAGCGCCTCGTACGACAGCTCGCGGGACACCCTCTTCACGTCCAAGTGCATCTGCCTCATCGCGCCGATGCCCTTCGTTCAGGTGGCGCTGCTGCTACACCGCCACGCTTGGATCGCTGGCGCGCATGACCTGTGTTCATACGCCGCTTTAAAGTGTAGTTTCAACGTATTTTAAGTCATCGAATATTTCGACTGTGATTAGTCTCGCGTTACAGTTTCTTCGGAGCCAATCAAATGGCAGGAAGGCAGGCTTTCTTAAATGTTTATATCCCACGGCTGGGCAAAGCCCCTCCCCCCAGTGTATTTCACGATCCCTTGCCACCAGCTGGATATGAACCGCGGACCTTTTTGCTTCATGCATTTCCCTCACAAACATGTACGCGCGTACGTCTAACCTCTTGGCGCCAACCGTGCCGATCGCACGTCGCTCACAATCGATGCCTTAATGTCGGCCGGCCCGCGATTCGCAGGCCTGCCGCAAGGCGCTGACGCAGCTGCACACGGCGGTGACGTCCCCCCAGCCTCCGCCGCTCCCGCTCGAGAGCTACGTGTACAACCTCCTGTACGAGGTGCCGCTGCCGCCGCTCGGCCGCTCCCTGCGTTTCTCCTCCGTCTACATGCCTCCCGTGGTGTGCCAGCGGCCCGGCCCCCACGAGCTGCCGCTCTTCGACTACTGCCTGCGCGAGGTCTTCGAGCTGCTGGGCCTGGAGAATGTGGTGCAGCTGTTCACCTGCGCGCTGCTCGAGCACCAGATCCTGCTGCTATCGCGCGGTGAGAGGGCAGGAGGTCCGCGGCCGAGCCGCCGTGTAATGACCGCGAGCCACACGAAGGGCTGATTCAAGTGAAAGACGGATATAGGCACACCTCATATAAGTACAGTTCTCATATACGCTTATACTATTACACTTGGGGGGTGGGGGGTGGGGGGGTGGAAGTGGAAGTGATGATTATATTCATGTTTTACGGTGTTTAATAAGGTACTGTTATTCCACTTTAATGTACTGTTCTAACGTTTAGTTCTTGTGGAAAGGTGACTTCTATAAACAAAAGAAGGAACAGCAATGAACTCTCTGATAGCGATGTGTCTCCTGTGATAGCGAATTTGTACATGTAAAATTTTGAAACAAAAGCAATAGCTTCAAGCACACTAAACCCCTCTGCTTGGTTTAGATATGTGGATAACACATTGGTGGTCTGGCCTAACAGCAAAGATACACTTAATGAATTTTGAAATCATCTCAACTCGCAAAACCCATCCATCCATTTCACCATGGAAGTGGAAGTTGACAGAACTCAACCATTTCTGGATATTCTGCTCGGACAGGGTCGAAATGGTAAAATAACACACAGCGTTTACCGAAAGAAAACGCATACTGACGCCTATCTGAATGCAGAGTCACACCATCACCCTGCACAGAAATCTGCTCTTATCAAGACGCTCATTCATCGAGCTAAGAAAGTGAAATTCAACATGTTAAAGAAGCGCTGCAAATGAATGGTTACAATGATGCACAAATCAACAGGGCATTGAATGCCAAATCCAAATCCAATAGCACGAGAATTGAAACTGCCCAAGTAATTAAAACGATCAAAATACCGTTCATTGCGGCAGAAACTAATATAATAGCTCGATGTTTGAAAAACAAAACATCCGAGTCAGATTTGGCACGGTACATAAAATGCAGAAATTAATATCTGGTACAAAAGATGTACTACTGAAGCTATCAACAGATGGTGTGTACAGGATTAACTGCAATTGTGGCAAATGTTATGTTGGGAAAACAGGACGAATGATCAGCACGAGACTAAAAGAACATCAGAGAAATATGAAATACCTCAATTCAACTGTCAGCAGTAGCAGAACACACGTGCCAACAAGGACACTCAATTGATTTTGATAATATTGAAGTTCTGTGCAAAACTAGCTACTACTGGCCAAGACTAATTTGAGAATCTATCGAAATTGAATGAAATAAAAATAATTTTAACTGTTCGGATAGCTACCGACTTAGTGCTGCGTGGAAGTGAATCATCAAATTATACATTGTTTAAATGCATGCCTATACAGGGCACCATACTTGAATAGGGATCACCGTTGGTACGGCAATAGACAGGACGGACAAGATCAAAGTGTTTGCATAATGCACATGCATGATGTACGTTGACTCATTAATCCCCCCCCCCCCCCCCCCACTTTGCGCAAGAGCACAGAAGCGTGGTCACCACACCTACGAAACAGGTGGACTTCTCCACAAATCTGGCTGTCGCCTAGTTGCAATTACTGGCGAAACGTCGTACTCGGATTGTAAATGTTGTGGCATGTTCTGTTTACGTGACAACCCTTACTCGTTGGCTGTGTCGGGTGGTGGCGGGTATTAGCGACACATTTATATGTTTACACGATCTAACACAAAAAAAAAACCTCTTGTGGTTTCAAATATAATGTTAGAATCTGACAGCGATTATTTTTCTTGCATGATTTAGAATATCTGTGGTCACAATGGATCAGTGGATCACATGCAAAGCAACACCCATGAACATCTACGTTACAGTCTTAAACACCTTGTGTACCATTCTTGCTTTTATCCATCTGCCATTTGCCTGCCCACTCTAGAAATTCGATGATATGCTGTTAACACCTACAGGGTTTAACATGAAAGAAATTATACCTAACGGTGTTAATATTGCAACTACTAATGAGCATTTTGGCAGAAATTAGGCCATTTCGTCCAAAATAAAGTTAATCCTTGGTAATGTTAATGTAACTTGCCAGGAGCGCAGTACGGTATATTTCAATGGATAATATCACACTGAGCAGGCATCCTTGAAGATATACGTAATAAAGGCAAGGAGCCTGTGTTAACAGTTGCCAGATATTATTTATGCCACGGAACAGATGCCGGTTTATGTGAAAATGTTAATACCTATTCTGGCTGCCAATTTATAGTGCAAATATGAGGGCTACCTGCTGATAGATGGCAACAGGGAATAATGAATCCGTCTAAAGTTTATCGTTTTAAAAGTGATTTGCATCTGTAATTGTCAGGCGCTATTATGAATGTAATTAGCTGCCTCTCTATAGGGTTTCCTTTATGGGCCACTTGGTTTTTATATCGCCTTCGTATTTGCCCGTTCCGTTTAAGTTTTACTCCACTTGAAATACTTTCTGTCAGTTCTTTTTGTGGTCTCTTTTATAATGAACAAAAAAAAACAACCCCGTAGTACAACGATGCCAAGAGTCCCTGCCAGTAGTTTAACCCCGCCATTACAATACTCTTTTTGAGTTTCAAAGTTCATTTTGAAATGCACGTGGAGCATGTGGATATATGAGCTGGATTGAGACGCATGGTGCAGTAGTGACTTGTATGCGGGGTAATGCTCAGAGCACAGTTGTCTTACTCCAGGCTTTTAAAACACTTAATTCCCTAAGCAACAACTCTTCCTGGAAATGTGCAGTGCTAAGACATGTTAAAAAAATGCACACAAAGGGACGATGTATTTAGGTCTCAGGCCATCATGAAAAGCGATCCTAAAAAAGAACCCGTCAACCTCCCCAGAGCACACACATAAGCACAGCAGCTTGTTTTGTTTGTTACCCCCTTCCAAACTGATGAGGTTTCTCATTGGCTGGGAAGGAGCATGGTGTCTTGGGTCCGTGGACATACAGCCTGAGGCCATTGGCTCGACAGCTAAAATATGTTCGTGCGGCTTTTGCAGATTCTTTTTGTGTTTGATGTACCGGGGCAAATGTGCTCTTTCCCTGTGGGCAGACTACCAGCGGCTGATGGTGGTGGCAGAGGGCATCATGGTGCTGCTCTTCCCATTCAGCTGGCAGCACGTGTACGTGCCCATCCTGCCGGCATCGCTTCTGCACTTCCTCGACGCTCCCGTTCCGTACCTCATGGGGCTGCAGATCGATGGTGAAATGGGCCGCAATGGGCTGGAGCTACCTCAAGAGGTGCTTGGCGTGTGAGCGCGTGTGATCGTACGTATCGTGGTGGGAGTGCTAGTGCAGCAGTTGGCGTGCTACGCTACGAACCCGGCGATCCACGTTCGATGTCTGCTCATGGCCACCGACACCAGTGATGATTGTCTGAACCGGTCCTGGGCATCCCCTAAGTCGACTCGGCCTCAAATGAGTACTTGGTGTGGTGTGTAAACATCACCACTTGGGAGACAAAGGCTGTCGGACGTGGTGCTGGCCACCCGCTCCCTCGTGTACGATGCCGGCCTTCATAGGTGCTCACTAACAGGCTATACGGGGGATTTTTGTCTTGTGTACGGAACCCAATATATTTGCCTTCATAGGTGCTCACTAACAGCACTTTGCCCCAACGGCCTGAAAAGGTTATGGGCTGGTCTTTGTTTTGTGTGTATTGCAGTGCGGCTCGCCAACTATATGACAGCCTGGCTCGCTCACTTGGCTGTGTTGTGTTGGTTGTTGGACTGCAGCGTTCATAACCTCCCACCTTTCATCAACATGGCTGGAATATTTTTTTAGACATTTGTTGCTACGATCATAGTAAAGCACAATCTTATCGCTGTGAATGAGGTTTCTCTTCTCCAATACCGTCCTGCGGACCTGCCACACAGAGTATCTGGAACAAATAGCGCTGGGCCCTGCTCTATGGCTTGCCCACTCGATCAGTAAGGAAATTACTCACTGATATTTGCTGAGAGCAGCTTTGTTTCGAATCTATTGTCTTTTCAAGTTAGAAGCGCCCAGTTGGTTAGGAGCTTGATTGGGAACTTTTCCAGTGCCAGGGCCACGAACTAGAATTGGATTTCACATCCTCCGATTATCGTCATCATCCACAGAATGGACATTTTATCTACACGCTTTTTCAGCGCAAGCATCGAATAGTACAATGTCACAGTTGCGAGCTAGGTTAAAACATGCACGTATGCTAAAACACTGTCGGATAAAACAGTGCCACCTTTGTTCAGTGCCCAATGAAACAACAGCGGCACGGTCCGTATGGGACAGCAGATTCCAGTGTCGCTTGGGCCAAAATAGCATCGTGGGTCCCCCGGGCCTAACGCGCTGTCGCATTGTGCCGTGCGTGCGCAGGCGAGCTTGTGCCTGGTCGACGTTGACAACCGCAGCCTGGAGCTGCCCGAGGAGCTGCCCCAGTTCCCCAACAAGCTCGAGTTTGTCCAGGAGCTTTCCGAGGTGCTGCTACGCTTCGGCGTTCCGCCCGAGGGGAGTCTGCACTGCAGCGACAGCGCCGCTCACCTACGCAGCCTGTCGCTGTTCGGCCAGACTACGACCTCCCCTCCTGCGTTGGGGAACCGCCTGGGCACGCTGCCGGCGCTTGGCAACCAGAACCATCTTACGAGCGAGGACCGGCGGAACGGAAACGTGGTGCCCAACCCACGCGGGATGGAGGAACTGCTGAAGGTTTGCGTTGTTTCTTATTTTGTTGTTTGTCAAAGCAGAATTTCAGAGTCATCAGGATCTTTACTTATACTGGAAGAATCCGATGAGCTATGAAGCTCTTTTTCACACGTGTCCAGTCGAGGCGGGTCAGAAAGTTAAAGCAACAAACAATACAAAAACCGATGAGAGTGCAAAGTATAGGGATGCTAATCAAGTCAATAAATATAAATAAACGAAACATACGAGTACAAATTGCATAAGTACATCAATTCCTGCTGATTTACCAACAACAAATGCAATCTTGATTTGAAGCTTTCGTGACTGCAGGGATTCTCTTTGTTTTTTTCGGTAAAGTCAGGTATAAATATTTCTTATTTATGTTTATATTTATATTTCTTATTTATACGTGACTTTACCGAAAAAAAACAAAGAGAAATGCAATCTTGGGCAAGGCAGTAAACAAAAACAGTCGCAGACCACACCAAGACAACACACAGTCCCTCAGCATGCAGATCGAGATGTCCTGCATGGGAGGCATGCTATCATCAGTGAGTGATGGAAATAATGAATATATCAACCGTGCGAAAGGGTAGGGTGGGGCGGTGGCAAGTGTTTTGTTCGCACACTGCGCTATGAACCTGGCGACCTTCCCCATGGCCAGCATCAGTAGTGAGCGATATCTGAACCCACCTTGGTCCCCACCCCCCCCCCCCCCCCTTTGCCAGCCGGCACTGGCTGGCGTGGTGAAGTATGTTAGAACAACCCCCATGGCCGATACGGCATGGGGGAGGTCTTCATCCAACATTAGATCGACCAAGGGCCGTCCACGTTTATTTTACAATAGAGCAAAGCCCCTTCCATCTCTGCTTTAATTCAATTTACCGAAGGGTCATGTTCGCTGAACTAAAATTAATGGTCCCATGACGAGTTACACGATACATTTTTCAAACTGTGATTAAATACAAACTTTGGTGTTAAAACCCCAATTGCGAGTGACCGCTGTTTGGCCACTCTCTATGTGCGTTTAAATGATAACCGCACGAGCCACTTGTGTGCGTGCCTTCTGTGCTCATCGGTTCCATTTTCCTGCAGGGAAACGAAACGCTGGCGCGCGTGCAGGCGATAGCGAAGAGGACTGGGTTGAATTTTGACATTTCTTACTCGCTGAAGCGTCAAGGAAGTGAAAACCGCTTGGAAGGTCGAGGTAACTGTGCAATGCCACTGTATTTCCACTTTCAAGAAGTAACCGGGTGTAGTTGATTTCATTACCGTACGCGACACTGAGCATATTGTTGAACACGTCTATTTTGTTGGCAAGGCCCTTGTGCCCTCTGAGAGTACTTTAGCACATGAGCAGTGAGGCTTTACAAATGTTTTTCATGAACTCGGCTGGAGACACCATATACCTACCTCAAAATACATAAAGCAGTGTGTGGTTAAAAGGAATTTATTGTCTCTCTTTAAAAAAAACCTCATAACATCTTGACAGATGAATGCAAATGCCCAGTTATTTGTCTCACAGTGAAGTTAAACCATACATACATTTCTATATTTTTCAAAAATGCTTTTTGAAGCATCTGTGTTATGCTATTGTGTGTGTTTTCTCGGTTGTGCTCTATAGTTATACATTGGGGTTTCGGATCGTGCCCGTGTGCTGTTCGGTGTGATGTCCGAACGGAAATTCGCTTCCTGAAGAGGCTCCCCTATAAGTGCGGGGCGAAACATCGGACATCGTGCCGAAATGGCGGACAGCAACAACCCGAAGACAACATCGGAGAGCTATGCGTCGTGTGTGTCACCGTGCTATTGTTGACCGATACTTCGGGGTGTGTGGGGGGACAGGGGAAGGCTTCGACGGTTCGGAGGCAAACCAAGAGCTTCTCGACCAGAAGTTGAACATTCACGTGCGGGAGGTCTTCGCCAACCAGTTCACGCAGCTGTTCGCCGACTACGAGGCCTTCGTCATCCAGCCCACGCAGGACATGGAGGCGTGGATCACAAGCAGAGAAAACATGCAGAACTTCGACAAGGTGTGTGCAGCGTCATTGAGCGGGCCGCATAGGGCCATAAAGACGAGCGTAGATCCACGTTCACCATCCTGTTGAGCCAAGTCGGCACACCCAGTGCGACGAGGGTGACATTGTTGTAAATTTTAGCAGGTTTTTTTGTTCACTTACTGTGATTGCATTTTTATTATCTTAGGGGTCCCACGGTGTAATCTCTTTCATTGTGTAAACGAAACAGGATCCTTAAGAAAATAAATTTAGTCTTATTGAGTGTATATCTCCACGTGAAATGGTGATAAATTAAGTAAAATATTGAGAATTTCCAAATACTCCTTACTACGACGATTCTATAAAATATTTACTCGGTAACTTCAGATTGTCATTTATGGGATCGTTTCTTGATAGGGAATTACAAAATCGCTTTTAATAGTAGAATGTAATGTTTTGAACTTGTATAATGTTACAAAGAACTAAATGCCGGTTTTCACTCATTCCGCTTGTTACTTTCATGCGAGCACATTTTTTTGTTTACATCTCCAAACTTAAATTAGTTACATTGGTCACAACTCCGTATCACTCTGCGCGTTCGTTCATTAAACATTTGACGTAAAAATGACGCGCCCGCCCGCTTTATCTTCCGGTCGCAGGCTTCTTTCCTGTCGGATCAGCCGGAGCCCTACCTGCCCTTCCTGTCGAGCTTCATCGAGACGCAGATGTTCGCGACGTTCATCGACAGCAAGATCCTGGCGCAGTGGGAGGAGAAAGAGCCGCTGCTGCGAGCGTTTGACGCGCGCGTGGAGAAGATGCGCGTGTACGGCGTGCGGGCGCCACTGCTCCGCACGTCCACCTACCAGAAGTGCACCAGCACGCGGGAGGCAGGTGAGGACGAGTGTCTGGGGAGAGCAAGCGAGCGTGTCGATATTTACTCGCCACCACGCCACGTCCCGCAAGAATATTCTGCGAAATTGTCGTCAGCGTTCACTTTGGACTTTGATTGATTGTTGTCACCTTTTGCCGCCTTGTTTCTATTGTTTCTTTATTCTGTGTTTGATTGTTTCGGTGTTTTTTTTTTTCTCCGTTCCCCTAAAGTTTACGAAATTTTATTTGCATGTAATTTGCTGAGAAAGTAAAAAAAATGCCTGCCCCCGACGCTTCTTTCTGAACTTTTTCGTTTTTTGTTCCTTTTTTTCTGTCGGTGTCCGTTTCGAATCCATCCATCACAGCAGGCAACGTACACTGATGTGCCGAGTTGGTGACAATTGCCCTGTTTGCACGTCTGCCTCTCCGTAATTGCAGAGCAAGCTTTGGAGCAGCGACTTTCAAAGATTGACCACACGGCTGTCCACCCACACCTTCTGGACATGAAGATCGGACAGGGCAAATACGAGCAGGGCTTTTTCCCACGTTTGCAAGCGGAGGTGCTCGCTACCGGACCCACCAGCGAGAAGTACGCTTATGTTTGGCTTCGGTTCAAATGCTTGGGTGTTTTTTTGTCAATTTGTATGTTGGTCTTCTTTCGCACTGTACGTAGCCAACTGTGCTAATCGGATGTGCGATGACTCCGCATTTTCTGTAGTCACCGTTTTATTCGAGGAGCTCCTGATCTTCCCTGTGCAGATCATCGAAGAGAAGCTCTTCGGCCCAGTGGAGGAGGCGGGACAGGCTGAGGCAGCACTCGGAACACCTGCAGCTCGACAACGACCAGAGGGAGGTGAGACCCAGATACCTGCGAGGCCTTTATTTTAATTGGGGTTGCTGCAGTGATATTTTGGATTATGGTAATATAGTAATAGTTTGATTTAAGCACACCTTTTATATATATACGCACCGTTATAATATGAGCAGCACCATGCACTGGTGCAAGGGGGTTATGCAGGATAATTTTTTTATACAAGCATACTTTACCTATTTTGTTTAGTTTGTTGTCCTAACCCCACGCCTCGGATTAGCACAGTTGGATACGTACGGTGCGAAAGAAGTTCAACATGCATTCAACATACATACACTACAATAATATGTACACCTGGCCTTGCACCCAAGGGATGTGCTGAAATCCAGCCTCTACTTTATTGTATAAAAAATTTTCATTTTTTGAAGAAACTACAAACGTGGTTTTTGCTTAAATTTTATCAATCCATTGAAGAGAGTCTAGACTGTGGTGGGAGCCCCTTGAGGTGGTACCTCCCATTTGCTAGAAAATATAATTTTATGCTGACATTTATGGCGAAAGGTTCGGTAATTTAAACTTCGTAGAGACTACAAATGCTTCTCTGCAAAAGCCAGCCTTTTCCTTGCATGCTAAAATTTATTTTTTACATCTTTCATCTTTAAAACATCCAACTTGATTTCTTCCTGCAATTTCCACTTTATCCCTTTTATTCGTGTGTACGTACCACGTATCGCAGCATGCGTTCACTCGTTAACTATTTTTGCTTTCTTGAAAAGTGTTCGGTTTGCCCTTTGCTTCATTCTATGCTGCGTGCTCTCTTCATCTCTCCGTTTGTTTTCTGCTTGCACGTGCTTGCATGCTGCCCGTGTGACCTCCTACGAACTACAAAAAAAAGCGACTGGAGCGCCTTAGGGCTTGCCTAGAGGATGCCCTGGCGTGCTTGGAATGGGAACAGGTAGACAGACTAAACACCCAGTGGCAGTGGGAGGAGTGGGAGAGGCCCGACGGGACTCTGGTTCGCCCTCCACAAAAATCCCGCTCAGAGTTCTCGCTGGTAGGTTGTGAGCATTTGTTATGAATGTGTTGGGTGTCGCGTGTTGATGGGCGCTGCGGTGGCGAGATGTTAACTACCTCGCCTGGTATACATGAGGTCAAGTTTTCCCGATCCCAACCCCGATGCCTATATATTTGGAGTTGGCATGTTCTCCCGTGGTTGCGTGAGGTTTTCTCCGGGTCCTCCGGTTTTTCCCTCTACATTTATAAACATGCATTTAGGGTATTTGGCTGCTTTTAAGTTCCACGTGATAAGCCACTTCCTTGAGCTATAATTTTTGGCCAGGTTGGTTCTCTTAAAATAGTTATATAGCTCTGTGGGCCTTGCCTTGTAAAATAATAGTAAAAACAAAATAGTCATGGCTAGATACTCGGTGGAAAAATATTTACACTGTCTAATTGTGAGATGTTATGTACAGAACAGTTGTCAAAACGTTTGTAGAATAGATATGGTATTGGCTTATTTATAATAAATGTTCACATCAGTATGGCAGTATACTTCTGGGTTAACTCATATTGAGAAGTTATTATGTATTTATTCATGCAATAGGCATCACATGTTTTTTTTTACTTCCAAAAAAGCGTCGCCAACCCGAACAATTTTGAGAAACACCGTTGGATACAGTCACTAAGTTTGACGAGCATTAAGTTATCTAAAAAGCGTAACGTAAAGTAATCTTTAAACGTAACATAGAAATGTGCGCAAAACCCTGCACTTAAAAGCATTTCAAAAACGCAGCCTTGAGTTTGCTATGAGTAAGCCCCCCCTGGCTGACGCACGGGGTGACACGTCTGTCAGCGCTACATCCAGGAGGCACGGAGTCTGGGGAAGAGCGTTCGTCAGCCCAAGCTCTCCGAGTTGTCGCCCTCCGTCATCGCGCAGACCAACTGGAAGTTTGTGGAGGGGCTGCTGAGAGAGTGCCGTCTCAAGGTACGCAGCTCCCCATTACGGCTTCCTCAAGGGGGTGGGGGGGGGTCAGTGTTCGACCGGGTAAATTGTGCCGTCTGCTACTTGGAAGTCTCAGCCTTAGCCAGACTTTGCTTTTAAGAGTGTCTGTGCTGTGTGTTAAAATACCCCGCTGTTGAGAGCCAGGCCTTTGAAACCCAACCATGTATCCATTGAAAGTCAGACTCGTTGATTAATCTTGAGAAGCATTTTCTGCAATATTAAAGCAAAAAATGTATTGCTCTATATGTCCATGTTACTTCGCATAAGTATAAATTAATAGTTTACATTATTTTGTCAATCTACTGGTAAAGTCCTCCCCTACGCCATGTCATGTTGTTTAGCCATACTTCACTACGCTGGTCAATACGGGTTTGTGAAGTCGGTGCCCAGACCCAGTTGAAATATCACTCACTGCCGATGTCAGTCGTTGCTCGAAAAATGAACTCTGTTTGCAAGGTTCACAACTGCACCACTGCTTTACCCCCAGTATAAATATATATAGGATTCTAATTAAGAGAACGTTGTTCTCACATTTCGTGCTTTGCTGGGTGAATGAGCAATCCGGCACTAGATACTGTTACAGAAACATTAGAAAACGGCATTCACACGTTAAGGTATCCCTGGGAGGCCACTTAACACGTTTCCATAAACCTAAACGCAACAACTTAATGAGGGAATAAGGGCACGGATCAATTCACCCCAACAGCCAACCAGCCCTCACGGACGATGGCGTTCGCACGGGAGTCGGTTGTCAACAATGTTACAACGCCCGACGGCTGTGCTCCTGCGACGTCCCTGTGCAGACCAAGCGGATGCTGGTGGAGAAGCTGGGCCACGAGGCGGTGGAGCTGGGCCACGGGGAAGTGAACATCACTGGCCTGGAGGAGAACACGCTGCTTGCTAGCCTCTGTGATCTGCTGGAGAGGATTTGGAGTCATGGCCTGCAGGTTAAACAGGTAATCGTTGGAAACGATTGAGGTTAGGGCAGCATTCTTCGTTGCAGGGCCCGCGGGTCACTGGCGAGCCCTCGGTGGCATTTAGTGCGGCCCCTAAAGTGTGGCACCCGACAATAACACAAATGTGAAAACGCCCCATCGTGCTGCTGTCAAACCCCAATGGTTTCAAATATGTGGTGGCCCTCACACTGATGATGTCTTATCGGCAAAAGTGCCCCCCCCCCCCCCCACCTCTGAAAATTAGTGAAGAACACTGGGTGAGAGAGTAAAGGCGCGGCCCTTCATTTGCTTGCTCATGCCACTGTCGACAGGAGAGTTTCCACTAGAGGGAACTCTTTGTGGCCCCTATTAGAGGGTATCTGGCCTACTCTTCCATGCTGGTGGAATGTTGTCAGAGAGGTGGGAGCAGCCAAACCCCACCACACGCAAATTGTTTATCAACTGTGTGGTGCACCCATTTATATCGCCATGTGAAAGAATCAGAAATAAATACAGAGTTAGCCATTGTATTAAAAAAGTAAGAGAAATAACTCGGCTTACTTGATTCAAAATGTCACATTTTTTCACTAATTGAAGTTGAAGTAATCTTCCGTATTCTGAAAGACAATTTGTTTCTCCACCAACCCACATTGGCTAATGTGGTGAAGTATAGTCAAAACAATCTCCACGCATCTGCATGGCGTGGGGGTGGCCCTCCTCACCCAGTGGTGAAATGGACAACATGGCTGTACAAATCATGCATATACAAGAATAATATTCACGGTAACAGGATAAAGGGCTAATAGTCATGGTGATAATTAAACATCATTGACAATTTTGTGTGTACGGCTGCTCGATTTGAACAGGGGAAGTCTGCTCTATGGGCTCATCTCCTGCGCTTTCAAGAAAAGGAAGAGAAATTGGAGAGCAATCCTGAGCTTGGCTCAACCGGCTCTGGTGAGCGCACTTCTCGCTCCTGTTGGGAAATGTTCTATTTTTACATGTGCCTGCTGCTGTGACACTGCAGCTGCAGCTGTTGTCATCAGTGTTGTTGTTTGATCCTCAAGTGATTTGCTGTTTAATCTGCCGCAGGATTGGTTCCTGGGCATGAAAGAAGAAAATCCGATGCCTCTCCGATTATGCCTCAGCTAAAAGTATCGTTGACGCAAGACATGAGGTGAAGGGCATAGTGTTATCTACACATTTTCACGCAGTTGTACAACTACAAGACGCTATGCGTGTTTATTAGCTTTATCTTAATGTGCTAACTGAAGTTAATCTTTCGAGTCAGTATTGTGTATTTAGAAATTGATTTACAAGCCCTTACCTTGGGTTTCTGCCTCGGTGTAATGGTTAGCAGCACATTGGACCTGCAATCTAGAGATCGCCAGTTCGATTTGGTCTCCCAACGTGGCATTTGAAACATTCAGCAAGTTTCTGAAATCCCACCGCCGAGGGTCTACCCAGCAGTGTAAATGGCTACACTGTTGTTAGTCGATCAGCAGGTGGCACGCGGTGGTGTAAAGTGTGGGTACTCCCACCTCTTCCAAGACATGACCATCGTGGAAGAGGAGGCAAAATACCATCTATAAGGGCTCCCTAGAGCTTCCTGCAGTGGAGGCCTTTCCGCCTACAGTGATGTGAACAAGCAATTTCAGGCCTGTGCGTTTACCTTTTGCTATGTTAATGAATTAAGCAAGTATTGTGAATTGAAAACTCATTTCTTTATACCTGTTTTTGGTGTTAAGTTTGTTGTCCTTCCCTTACATCTCCGATACGCACGGTTGGCTACGTACGGTCTGAAAGAAGTTCTACATACATACATTTGGAATTTGATCTACGAGAGACCCTACCTTACAGTGGTGGTGATGATAACGATGACGATGACCTCGTGGATTTGTCCCTTGTCACGTGACCAGCACGAACAAATGACCGAACTTGAAACACACCCCCTGCAGGCACATTCAGAACATGGGCGAGATCCACACTGACGTGGGGAGAGCGAGGGCCTGGGTGCGGCTCGCCATGGAGAAGAAGCAACTCGCGAGGCACCTGAAGCAGCTGCTGTCCGACCAGGAGCTCACCAAGTATGAGTTTGAATTTGCCTTCTCCCCAAACGGCAACGTGTAATTGTCTTCGGGATTTGTGTTTTCTAACAACCTCGAGTTAAAAAAAAATCGGCTTCATTTGGGTGCGGCTGCTCATTTGACGTCGTCACTGTCTGTTGCTGAAGTCCCCCGCCCTCCTCCTGCGCAGCCTCTGTAGATCGCGAAGGCACACGGGGAAATAGGAGTGTCGTTTGCCTTTGTGGCCTACGGAACTGGGTGCGAGGAGTGCGACGCAAAGCAACAACTGGAGATGAAGACACACGCACGCGCGCAGTCGTACCCAAATAAAACAGAATTTTGTTTTTGGTGGCTTTTCCTTATTACACCGCCACCATGCGCACAGTCCCAAAGGCCCAAATTTCCAGGCGGGCCAGGAGCGTAAGCGGCACCGTCAAAGTTGCAGGAGATCAGAGTTTACACGATTTCTTGAATTGAGCAATATCATACAAGAGCTCGGGAAAGAGAGACGATGGGAGGGAATTGCGGAGTCAAGCAGCGTGAAGCAGAAGGAGAGAAGCGTTGCGACATGCGATCGTGGTGCTTGAACGTACAATGGATGAGATGAAAATGGTCAGTCTGGCAGGCCGAGTCAAACACAGAACAGTATCGCACGTCCGACACTCGCTGGGGACTGAGGCGTAGGCGGATTTGATGGAAAGGCCGGTTACCTGAACAGCGATATAAAACGACAGTTGCACCACATCCAAATACGTTACTGGTCAATTGGAAGGCGTAAACTGCTCTAAATATAGTGAAATGCTTTGTGATGCTTTTAACAGTAAGTGAATGTACGCAAGATTAAGAATACATTACTGCGTGCATAAAAGGTCGGATGTGTGAACATCTAATAGAAAATTACTTCAAGCACGCACAAATATTGCACTGGGTGTGGCCGGTTAATTGGTCCTTGTGGATTTATGATGGTTGGATATGCGATTTTGTACTGCGAGACTGGAGCGGGTGTTGCTGGATACTTTAAAATTGCCCTTGATTTTCCTGACCTTCAGCGACGTCGATGGCACGGCGAAGTCCTTTGGGCATGGAATGGACAGGAGAAATGAACGAGCAGATTAAAAGTGATTATCGTCGTTGTTCTGTCCATTGATCCAGTCCTTGGCATCTGTCTGTGTTTCCCGCAGGAAACTCTACAAGCGCTATGCCTTCCTTCGGTGCGACGACGAAAAGGAGCAGTTCTTGTATCACCTTTTGTCCTTCACCACCGTCGAGTATTTCTGCTTCACCAATGCCTTCAGCACCATCGGTAAGCCACAGGCGTGCTTACTTTTAAACTAATTAGGATAGTCATTGTAGGACGATAACTGCACAAGCTTACCTCCATACAGCAAATAACTCTTGACGGCTGTATTTCAAATGGACTGCCGTCTGACAATGTGCTCCTCTAGAGTATTTTCAATTTGGCCCAAAAACGTTCAATCATTCGCCCATTTCACATGCATGTTTATTCAAAAGGAAACGAAGGTCGAGTGGTTTCGCAGGCGATCACGAGCTGCGCTATGAATCCCAGCCACCTGAGTTAAATTCTCAACCACAGCTAATATCAGTCACGAGTGATATGTGAACCGGTCCTGGGCCACCTTCACAAACCCGCATTGTTTAGCACGGTGAAGTAGAGGTCAAACAACCCCACGACTTAACACGTAGGCTTTTGCGACCAATATTTATTCATGATAATGTTTTTTTGGGGTAGATAGCTTAAATGTAAATGTGTTGTAAACCCACCTCCAAACTGTAAATGTTGTGGGTTTGCTCTCTTAACACACAACCGGTGTGCTAAAGTAGAAACAAATGTGCACGTTTTGAGAACGTGGCAAACCTTTACTAATTGGCTGTGTCGAGTGGAGGTGGGTTTATGACACATTTACATTTACTTGATCAAGCCCAAACAACGTTATCATGAACCCCACAACTGACATAGTGTGGGGAAGTCTTCATCCAGCAGTGGATTGATTGACAAAAAGCCTGCAAGTTACAAAGGAAATATTTAACGTACGTGGAAGTATGTTTTATTTATTTATATTTAGTGACCTGCTTACCTTTTATTTTTGCACTCCTATCGTTTTTTTTGTATCGTTTGCTGTTGCAACTCGCTGACCCGCCCACATACTGCACATCCGTGAAAAAAGAGCTTCGCAGCTCATCCGGATTCCTCCAAGTCTAAATAAAGATTCTGAATCAGTATTTCACGTTGGCAAATGATGGCGATGCCTCGTAACCTCTCCGTGTGCCTATCGCCCCCCGCCCCCACCATCCTGCACTCGTGTGCTTTGCAGTGATGCCGTACCGCGTGCTCATCGTGCCCAGCAAGAAACTGGGAGGCTCCCTCACCACGGCCAACCCGTGGATCTGTGTATCTGGGGAACAGGAAGAGACGGGGGTAATTCCTGTGCCGAAAAACGTGCTGGAGATGACATTTGAGGTAAATGACCTTTTTGAGGGGAATGACCTTTGAGATCGACAGAAGACAGAGGAAAAAAATAAGTGCGAGTAATTTTTTTTCTTTTCATACCACTAGAATAAGGTTGGTGTGTTAAATAGGTAGTATATATATGCTGTTGTGTATCAAAAGGCACCATTTATGTAAATAATTTCACATTGGTAGGTACTTTGCCTTTTAAAAAATTGCCAAAAGTCATATTGGACCCCGTGCAGAATTCAAGATGGCCAGGTGTTTTTGTAGTACTGTGATGGGTTCTTTAATCTGTATCAAAGATTAAAGTGTTACCTGATTGTTTGTGTGGATACTTTTGTTTACGTCCTCATGCCAAACGGTCGTTAATGGAAACTTTCACCGAGTCTGAAGACGTCGTGATGATTTCATGGAAGGGGTGTAACAATGCATCAATCGAAAAATCTCAATTATCGTAACTCACAATACGTGCATTGAATCGCACTCATACGAATTAACGTTTTAAGTTTTTTTGCAAATGCTAAGCAAGTGTTACGTTTGGGCTACTGGAGTAAGCAAAAATGTACAAATGAGATTGAAAAAAAATCTAAACAATACGCAAAATGATTGATTTTCATCAATCTAACTGGCCCTGAATTGCAATGGATCATCGGATCACCAGGGTTGGGGGCTGCGTGTGAGGAATTGTTACACCCATGCTCTCGTTGAAAAAAGAATTGCCATCGTTATTAATGTGAAACAGCAGAATGCTTTTCATTACTTTCAATTCTATAATTTCCTTCAAATTGCTGTCAACTTTGATGCTTCACAGTGCCCGAATCTGGGGAAGCTGACGACCCTGCAGATTGGTCACGACAATGCCGGGCTCATGGCAAAGTGGTTGGTGGACTGCGTCCTTGTACGGAACGAGATCACCAGCCACACGTACAGGTCAGAAAACCAGGTTTACGAATCAATCCAAACCCACATTCGAGCCACTGACCCTGAAGTGGGGTTCGTGTTTTTAGTATCTCGGCAGCGTGGGGAGGGGAGTTGTGGAGAATTCAGAGCGAAACTAAACTATTTTTTATCTTACCAGGTCAGGTCCACCGAGCTATGCAGCTCTTTTTCAGAAGCGACCTGGCCACAAATGATAGCTCAACGAAGTGGCTTATCATGTGGACATTTGTAGCAGCCGAATAAATACTTTAAACGCATGTTAATTATAAATGCGGAGGGAAAAACCCGAGGACCCGGAAGAAGAATCTACATGACCACGGGGAGAACAAAGAATGTGGTTTTGAGTTGATCTGGGATACAAACCCACGACCTCCTACATACCAGGCGAGGAAGTTAACATTTCGCCACTGCGGCGCCCCTCTGCTGTGCGTGCCGGTAGGTTCCCATGCGGCCGGTGGCTGGGCCGTGGTGTGGATGACGGCAGCTTGGAGAGGATACTGGTCGGGGAGCTGGTGACGGTGGACGGTTCGGCAGAGGACATCACACGAAACAATCGCGCAACCTCTCCTCAGAACCCCCTGCCCATGCCGAGCAGGAAGATGGGCATCGCAAACAAATTCAGTGCGTTTCATGCTCATTTTTTTTATTGGAGGAGAGAAGTTGATGAAATTCGTTTTAGATCCCTTTAAAAAAATAAGCGGGCTTTTGTCAGCACACATCGCGCTAGAGCGTGTGGTGGCCGATGGACGAGACTAGGAAAGGAATGGCAGCCAAAGGAGTATACCTCAGAGGGGGTGATTGCTGTGGTGATGGAGTAGTGTAAACGGTGCCAGATGCAGCAGTGAGATGGATTGTGGAATCCCCAGGACCATGAGGGATTGTAACGGCATAGAGAGGCCTTCATCCAGCAGTGGATAGACAATGGCTGTTGAGAATTATGATGAATAACCCATTGAGACTACCAATATTTTATTTCAAGAGTAAGCTGGGTTTTTAAAAATATTCTCGTAAAATGATCATTAGTTTGAAGCGCTATATTTAGCTGCCTAACTGTGATGAAATAAATTGTTATATCTGGGCTTAATATAGTGTAAACATAACGCAATAATGAGTCTGACAGCTTTATATATACTGCACTGTTACGTAAAACAAAATTGTGAGTCGTTTGTATATTTGTCTTAACTTCGATTTTAACTATAAATAGCGCATACATAAATGTCACTGATACTAAAAAAAATGCATCACCCCCATGTATGTGACGACTTCCATTTATTTTTCATTGATCTTTACCATATTCTCTGGATTTTAGGACACTCTACAAAGTACGATGCATCCCAAACTTGTGCCCAGTGTACATGAAGTTCTACAAATCTGGTCACAGGCACAAACACTTGGGCGGCTTGTAAGACGCACTCCCAACTTGTGCGTTAAAAAACAGTGCTGGGGGGGGGGGGGGTGTCCCTTGTAATCCAGGAGAATACGGCACGAATGGAATAATTTAATTTAATTAACACAGCATGTATATTCCGTGTTTGCAATGTGTACGAGTATTTTTTGTTCGTTTGTTTTTACGTCTCAATAGTTTCAAATATTCCACCAACAGAGTTGGACACAGGCCAAATACAGGAGGCTGTTGGAGAAGCAGTTAACAGCCTCGTAAAACACTTCCACAAGCCAGAGAGAGAGGTGAGCAAATATAAAATGAGGGGGGAAAAGGGACATCTATACTAAATCACTCCATGAGAAAATAACCTGCTTCAGTAATATGTCTGGGAGCCCCGAGTGGTGGATATTTCCAGGGCCACAAAATCTATAAGTTGGCCCCCGAGTGAAAGAGTGAATGTCTCGGTGATGTACGTCTGTCTGTGTGTGCTCCACTCTCAGAGGGGCAGTCTCACTCCACTGCTGTGTGGGGAAGGAGGCCTGGTCTCTGCCCTTGAGCAGGTTTTTCACCACGGCTTCAAGTCTTCTCGTCTCTTCCAGAGAACCGTTTTTCTCTGGGACCTCCTGGGTAAGTAAAGCATTCTGGGGGGAAAAAACAAACACTGGCAGCATTTTTGAGGAATTGTTCAGCTTTGGCCGTAATTCCAGTGCTTAAACTATGATCCTGTCGGAGTGGTGCGACAGCATCCGTCTGTCTACCCCCACGCGTGAGCAGGCATTGTTCTTGGAATAATTTCGCGTGAGCATATTTATCACGAGCCCGAGATTACATTTTTAACCAGTTGACATTGCATTCAGAAATGACCTCACTAACTACCGATCCACCCAGTCATTTGGGAAATAAAATATATAGTAATCTAAATGAAGCTGCTCATTTAAAAGCTATCTTTATTAAAATAGCATCAACAATATTGAATCCTCCATAATAGAGGGATTTTTGGGTTAGTAAGGGTTGTCACGTAAACAGAAAATGCCAATTCGTCACTAGTACAGCACACCGGTGTGTTGGAGAAACAAGCCACAACATTTACAAACTGAGTGTACGACGTTTCGCCAGTAATTACAACTAGCGTCATCTTTGTTCAGTTTTTTTTACTCGGGCATAGTTATCGAGTGCGCAGGCAATAATTACACACGGAGGGGCTCATTCTCCATCCCACACTGACCAGCTTGGTAAAAATATGTTCCATTTGCCTAAATCCAGCAGTGAATTAACAGAGAAACGTAAATGATTATCATTATAGAATAAACCCAAGGATAGAGAGATGGGTTATGAAGAAGGGTGAGGGCAGGAATTTTGACAGTTTAATGAGGCCTCCTGTTAGGGTCCACGCCAACCCTGCTATGCCACTGCTACACCATACGACTTTGTCAATGCTGCTACACCGTACAGCGTTGTCGCTGGCGAGATGTTAACTATCTTGCCTGGTATACAGAAGGTAGTGGGTTCGATCCCGACCCTAACGATGCCTGCTGTATATGTTAGTTTGCGTGTCTCTCTCTCTCTCCCCGATGGTCGCGTGGATTTTTCTCCGGATCCTCCGGTTTTTCCCTCCACATTTAGAAGCACGCTTTCAGACTTTGGCTGCTTTAACATTTCCACGTGATAAGCCACGTCATGGGCCTGTCATTTGTGGCCAGGTCCCTCCTGAAAAAGAGCTCTACAGCTCAGTGGGCCTTGCCTGGTAAAATAAAATTGTAAAAAAATATATAGTTTAGTTTCGATCGGACGCCTGGTGGTGTTGTCGCCAACAGAGAAGGTGTGCATTCACCTGGAGAGCCTGGGGGATGGGGACGGCATCCAGGAAGAACCCACGCCTGTGCGCAACAGCCGCAGCAGCTTCTGCCGTGTCGTCAACTCCATCAACACCTCGCGGCGCAACATCGGCAAGGACGACAAGTTTCAGCTACTCATCTGCCTGGGGGCCAGGTAGTGACGCGGCTGGGACTGCAAGCAGAGCTTTGCCAACACTTGAATAGCCCGTAATGCAAAAACAGGACCGAGTAAGCGTTGACTTTGCCATTGTTACAGACACCGATGTGTATTTGTACATCTGTGCGTATACATGTTCTTGTTGAACACCTAGGCTTTTGCAACCAATATTATCCATAAGAGGTTTTTGGGTTATGCTATCTAACCCAAAAACCTCTATTTTGGCTTGCGTTTATTTTTTGGTTTTCATCCTTACACACGCAAGTTATTTTTTGCTTGTATAATTATGTAAAAAAAGTGCATTTATGCATCCGCTCGTGTACATTCGCTTGCATTAGTTATTACTTTGACTAATGCGTGTGTCTGTGTATATGTGCGTGTGTGCGTGCACTATTTAGCCCATTACCCTACGAACCTAGCGACCCGAGTTCGATTCCCGCTCACGATCAACACGAGTGACGATTAACTGAATCGCTCCTGAGCCTCCCCTAAGGTTGCCTCGGCCTCAAATGAGTATCTGGTTTGGTGTGTAAACATCGCCACGAGGGAGATAAAGGCAGCTGGGCGTGGCGCTGGCCACCCACCCCCTCGTGTGCTGTGCAGTCCTTCATAGGTGCTCGCTAACAGCACTTGCCCCAACAGTCTGCTAAGGCTATACGGGGGATCTTTGTCTTTGTGCGCGTGTGCACTCAGGGACCACCAGCTGCACCGGTGGCTTCCCCTGATTGTATCAAGCCCGGCAACGATGCAGCTGTACGAGGAGTGCGCTATGCTGCGCGACCACTCGCTCGTCAACTCGCTCATCCGCGTCTTGCAGAGCCTCCAGGAGTTCAACATAAACCTGGAGGCGTCGCTCACCAAGGGGCTGGAGCTCTGACGGCAACCGCATCCTCTGAACAGCGTTTCATTCATTTCCCAGAATTAAGAAAACCGTTTTTCGGTTAAAAGAAAGTTTGAATTCAGGTAAACGTGTACAGATTATTTTTTTCCCCGTCTCATTTTTTTTACATTTACGCTGAAAATGAATGAAGGTTGATTAAACGAAGACCTTGGCATTTGCGATTTGTGTTGGGCCTGCCCACCTGCCCACCTTCCCCATCACATTATTTAGTTCGGAGAAGACTTGAGTTTATTTATGATACAAAGAGATTGGTGTGTTATGCTAGATCTGTGAGAAATCCACACCTGCCATGTGCTTGCTTGATCATCTGGCTGATGAAGATGCACAGTCTTTCAATGAAACTGATGGGGTCTGTGTGGTCCCCCTGGGCTGCCTGACCAATTGTGCGCGAATCATTATACTGTATATTGCGAAAATGAAACATCTCACTTTAACTCTTTTCCTTTCCGATGACGTAGGTTTACGTAAGCTTTTTCTTACGCTTCCGTTCCGATTCCGTTCCGATTATACGTTTACGTCATTGGAACGGAATCGATTCTGAACTGAAATTGATTCCGATTCAGAATCTGAAGTAAAAGACCATGCGTAAGGGGCGTATGGCACAGTTTGGTACCAGCTATCAGAGTGCGGCCCTGCCGCTACAGTTCTCTGCGGTGAGTACAATGTCTTTAAATACAGCAGCGGCGGGCCTCTCTAAATGAAATTAAACGTTAACCGTTTGCGCGTTCCGAGATTGTGGTGAACGGGACACCCACCGTGCAACTTGCAGACGTCTGGGAACGGGAGAAGGGTTAATTGCAAATCAGGAGCAGGCTTTGGGGGTGGGGTGGTGGTTGTGAGTGTAATGAATTGCAGTGTAGGGTAAGTCATGTATGAATCAAAGGATTACAGACTTAAGAAATTAGAGGTGGCGTGGGGGGTTAATGCACTTCTGAAGTGATGTCAGGACACTGTAAACATACTCCCAAAAAAAAACACTTCATGCCTCAACGCTCTATGGCTCAGTGTGTTCCAGAATCAGAAATTAGCAAGTCGGCATTCCAGCGTGTTTTGTTAACGAATGCAAAAAAAAAAGTATAGGTGACGTATTGGTTATCGATCTCTCACATCACCTGGGAAAGGATGATCAAATTTAATTCCTTCACCAAAACAAAGAGGGGGAACTTGCAGTATATATATTAAAAAAAACAGGTGAATCATTACAGAATGTTACAAATGTATGACGACGCTAATCCACGTATAATGTTATTGTTTAGGCTTTCAAGCAGTGTTATTTTCATGTTTTGTTTACAAGAGATGGATGTCACTTAAGTCTTGTTCATCCAGGTATAATCAACAAGTGCTGCCGGAGAAATCCCGCAGCCCATTGCTGTTCTCGTAAAACAAGTCAATCAAATTTGAGACTGATTTAAGCCATGTGTACTTTAAGCTATACCTTTGCAGTAATCTGTGTAAAATACATTTACCTAATTTCCTAAAGCGAAATCAAAAGACAATTTCCCCCCCTCCACCCCATTATTTAATTCTAAGCAATGCAAATGTGAACCTTGTGTAGTCATTTGCTATAACGCAAATGCCGTGTACCCATAACCCCTTGAACAGTTATAAGCTTTATTGAATGTAACAGTAACAAGTACACATCTGCCAGCTTAGTTTTATACATGAACAAAATTGTACAACATGTAACTTATTCAAAACTACGTTTTTGTCCATGTAGGAATCGGTACCTGTTTAAAAAAACACGTCTGCTGTAACTTTGCGATTTATTTTTTATTTTTTTTGTCTTGCAAGAAATTTTGCCGTCTGCCTATTCCTTTTGTGTGTTGTGAAATTGTCAAGAGTGCTTCGTTTAATTTAAGCTGTTTAGTTTGAAATACAAAAACTTTGCAACTGGAATGATGTGACTTCCATTTTGTTTTCATAACTGGGGTTGTTGCATTGAGGTAGAGCTGTTATTTTGCATTGCAAACATCCACCGTTGTATATTTATCGAAGGGTAAAATGGGTAGTAGATTTGGACACGTTAAGCTTTTGCAATTTAACCAATAACGATTGGTATTTGAGAGCACATCATTGTGCTCCTTCAAACATTTGTTGTAATTATCACCATCAGTCACTTAATCATGGAGGTGTCAATGTTTTTTCCATCTGCATGTCTGCCACTGATGTTCCTGTCCAAGACACTTTGTTCATCATCCAGCTCGTCTTTGACCAACCAATCTTCATCCTTTTGACTGGGACCTGCAGGAAAATCCCTCCAGTCTTCAAGTGCCAAGCCATTGCAACTTTCCCGTTTGCTCCTGCCAGGAGTGGTTCACGTACCCCAATCTGTTTAGTCCACATGAATCGACAGGTTTGTCCAATTGGCAGTGTAATTTAATATCGACGATTCAGTGTTCAACAACTGCCAGCTTATATTGGAAGACTTTAATACGTATCAAATACAGTAATTGCTTTCACAAATGTATTGAATTGGCCCTCTTAGGTCTGATGCCAAAGCCTGAGGGTTAGATTTGCAGGAGACAGTGCTCATCACACCAGTCACAGGTGTGTCATTCAAATGCTTCCTTTACTCCCTCTTCCCCATGTACCCGAATCTTTGCTGTTTATAAATTGAGTCCAACTGGACTGTAGATTCCCAATCTGGCAGCTGTTTGGAAAGGCAATGAGAAAATATTTAAAAATACTTTTTTTTAAAATGAAATGTACCATATGAGTAATGGCAGAACTCTACGATTCCAGGAAGTGGCCCCGAAACTTCCCACAACGTAAGGGGACTGTTGATTTACAGCCAACGTGAGTTGAGCGTGAACAATTTGAGCCGTTAAAAAGACCGTTAAAAAATATATTTCTAATGATAGAATATAGTATTGTCATCAGTATGACATACCTATACCAAGTTTGCAGTCGATAGCACATTGGGAAGTGGGTTAAAATTGAGTTACAAGATTTGAGGATACAACAGACTGAGTGAGTGAAATAAAAGCATGTAAAAAGGCTTTACCCGTTCTGGCACTAAAACAGGTTAAGATGTTAAAACACCAATTAGATACCTATTGCAAGACATGTCTGCAATAACCACAAATACTTGTGGCAAAAGTTGCAAACAAACATGCTCTGATAATATGCATTCCTTGAAACTGGCCTACACCAGACAGCCTCCTCCATGGCCTTTGTCTCACCATGTATTAAACCAGAAAACGTCAAAAGGTGAACATCACAACGGTAATGCAAGTATCAAAGCATTAATAACTCGTGTTGAGAAGTTACACCTTTGGGACCTTTTTGGAAAGGCTTTCCCAGGACTCTAATGGCACCATTATTCAGTTATCTTATGGGGCTGGAGTTTCTCGCCACCATTGTGATGAGCAGTGGCACACGATGGCCACGGTATGCATGTGCAGCTCTTTGGAGGGACCGTGCTTCAAATAATTATAAAGACCCCGTGCAAATCCCATCAATATTGGCACAGTGCAATTTCCATACTTGTAAATGGCAAGCCAGCTCATTCATTTAGTATGAAGGTTAAGGGATCCAATATTTACTAAAATGTATAATTAACCACTCGGTTGTTACGAAAACATGTTACAACTTGAAAAGTGGCGCGCACACTCCAGCAATCCTGTGCTAATCTGCATTAACAGCAACTAGTACTGTTTAAAACGAACATGAATTCGCAATTAATATTTAAATCATATATGGTGTCGAATGAAGGGTCGTTTAATGGGTGAACTGGGCTGATCGGAGCTAGTCCCCTGCACCGTTTCAATGGAATGTTGAATGCACGCATTTTTTTTAAGAACCGTCTACGCAAGATAGCCAAACAAACAGGCCTCAATTGTCCGCGTGATTTCAGGAGCCGTCGACAGTTACATCTGACGAGTCGACATTGGTTGTCCTGTGGGTAGATCAACCCTTCCATAGGAATGAGGAATATTCCACCAATGGCTCAGGGCTGTAAACCGGATATGAACACTACCCCCAAAGGCTCATCGGAGCAGTAAAATCACATTGATGTTGACCCTAATTTGTGAAGGAAAAGCTGCCATCTCAAAAAATTGGTCTCGTTAAAATGCAGTTTGAGCCATTCAAGAGCCAACCGATTAGCACGGCTGGCTACATACCGTGCGAAAGACGTCCAACATACATACACTACATTGCCAACATTAACCATTTGTTAAAAAAAGTTACATTTCAATGCAGCCGTCTTAGCAACAAAATCACTTTCACCCATATTGCTACTGAACGTATTTATTTGAACGCAAAAATGTACAAGGCTTAGCACAAGACCTTCCGCCAAGTGGTATGCAGTTTACTTAATTTGTTTGGCAACCTCAGGCACAAACTCCAAGTGCAAACATTTAAACAAAAATAGTGCAAAGATGACAGCCCAAATCTGCAGCGAACAGCACAGCAAGTAGGGAATGTAGGCGACCATTTCAGCACAATCTGAATTTATCGCAGCCATGTAATGCATGAGGCTGCACTTGAGTCAGTATTCCAAAAACAAGGTCACACGAGTAAACTGACTTTTGCATTATTAATAATTGCGTTGCTCCGAAAGTGTTACACACATTCAGTTAAAGTGCAAATGGGAACGGTTGAGTTACAATTAATTGCAAACCTCAGGACAAGAAAAACACTCATACCTGTCAACCCATAATGGTTTACCCATATTCTTGTACAGGGAAATAGAGTTCAGGTCCATCCGGCATAAAACAGTTTCAATACGGGCAAAACAAATAGTGTCCGTTTGTGTTTCTCCCTTGCGATGGATTAATCTGTAATAAGGTAGGCACTGATAAGGGGTTGACAGGTATGCAGACTGGAACACTGCTTTGGACTATTAAACGTGCGAGGGTCAAGCAAAATAAATGCATTCGCATCTAAATGGTTGTACACATCTATTTAAATTAACTCCCTCATTAAATCATGGAAACTAATTGTAATACGACAGTAAAAAAAAACCACGCCGGACAGATAACTACCCCTTTTTTTTAAAGCAAGGAAGACGGTCTAAAAATATATATAAACAACCGAGGGCCGGCACATTGAATAAACAGAACAGAAACAGGGACTTAAACGAAGTGTAAAAAAATTAGTACGAATGAATACATCGCAATCTGTGATCCTCGTGAGAAATGCAGATTTGAACACAAGCCTGAGAGAATTCATGGGCCCTGCCATGAGGTGGGGGGGGGGGGTGTCGGGGTGGGACATGGCCATAATCAGTCCAAATACAGCAGGTATCCGGAGAACGTCGAGTACTTCCAGCTGCTCCCGTAGATCGTGCCGCGGTGGACGCGCAGCCAAATGTTGTCGCCCGTCACCAGCTGCAGCACGGCGTGGTTGCTCGCAGTCTCGTGGTCCGGGGCGCCATCGTTTGCGTAGGCGGACACGAGCACCTCGTCGTTGCGCATCAGGTTAATGTAGAGCGGCACGTTCACGGCCAGCTTGAGGATGTGGAAGATGAACACGTAGGTGCCGTTGGAGGGGCACAGGAAGCGGCCCGTCGTCACGTCGAACGCCTCGCCCAGGTTGCTGATGATCAGGTCGAAGACGATCGGCTGGTCGAGAATGCCCGGCGTGAAGTTGACGGTGCGCGCGGCCGAGAAGGCGACACGCACCGTCTGCTGCGGGAGAGGGTACATGTTGACGGGCATGATGGTGGCCGGCTGGCCCACCACCTGCACGTCCACAGGGGTGACGCTGCGAGAGTCGCCCCGGCCAGAATCGTTGCTGTTGAAGGTGCCGCTCACCCGCTCGGGGCTGCTCTGCTGGGACGAGTCGCTCCAGCCTGTGACGTGGGAGACACAGGGGGGGGTGGGGAATATCGTCACGACGACGAATCGGCAGAATGCACTCGCACAGCTCTTGAACCCGTCTTTCGACTGGTATGTTCAAAGCTGCGCCGCTTTCAATCCCAAGGCCGTTTCAGGCCACGTTTTTCCACTGCAGAATACTAGCCGTGCCGCGGACGTCAAATTGTGTGACGTCGAGGCGCATATCGGTGATGTTACGATTCCCACGTTGTTCAGTCTTCTTCAGGAGTGTGCAGACCGACATCAAATACAAGGAGCGTATTCATTAGCCGCATCCCTGGCCCTGCTTTGGTTCCAACTCGGCACGACAAATAGCCAGTGTAAAAAACACTTGTATCCTGAAACCCCGCGCTGGCTCTAACATGCCAAGATAATAGGGGTATCACCGTGCACCGTTAGATAAATATAATATAGCAACGTCCAATACATTTTGCCATGCAAATTATGTTGGGAGGACACTCCGAGCGACAGCATGACGACCAATGGATGAGACTGGTGACAGAATCGCAAACAAAGGAGAGAACGTGTCCAAGAGCAAGACTGCCAGGAGTAATAACAGTTGATAGCAGCGCTGGAGCAGAGAAATGGTGATGGCATTCATCCAGCAGTGGATAAGACGACAGATGACGACAAAGAAAATTAAAGTGTTAAAATGACTGGGCCTCACCGCTCCGGAATCCGCCGTGCATTGCGCTTGCCACTCTTCGATATCCGTGCTGGTAGCCATAGCCGTCCTTCAGTGCAGAAAAGTCAAGGTTACACATCTAGCTACCAGTTAGAATAAAGAACTACGCAGCACTGCCTTCATTTAAATTAATCAGGGGTGAACCTAGAGACCACGACTCACCCGGTAACTCATGCCTGTATATTCCCGAGCGGGAAAAGTGGGTTGCATGTAAATGCCATTTGGCAAGGCTTGGTACACCGTGCGATAATTCTCCATTCCTGTGAGCAGACACATGCGCGGTCCCAATGTTACAAAGTCATTTGCCTGCGTGACCCACACAGCGGTCTCAACCTGAGGGTGGAGGGGGGGAATGATACAATTAAGGCCACCCCAATTGACAATCCAGTGTGTTCCTACAATGTCCTTTGACAGGGAATACAGAGAATATAGGTTTACATAGCGTTGCACATGGTTTCCAAAAGGCAGGCAAGGTCCATAAATTAAGCCAAGCCAAGTCTTAATTTCAAACTCATCCCAATAACGCATGTGGTGCCATTTTGAAGCCGTCTATCGAATACGAACGGCTTATTTTACACACAAGTCTGAATAATCACATCCCCGTGTAGATGAAAAAGTCTGTCCGAGTATATCCGACACCGCGGTATTTTAGGAGCATTTCTCCCTTGGAGAAGTCGGAAAAAACAATTCATAACTGGTTGCTGAAGTAATGGTCTAAAAATAGGCCACTTCATGACAATACTAAAGGATTACCCACATCTTTACAGGGTCTAAAAATTCCCATTTAACAATCGTGGAACTACCCAATGTGAGTCCTTCTTAGGCCTCCGCATTTCACACGCATTGCTCCCACCCTAGCCTCCCCCCCCCATCTCCATCGCTACCTCTGTACATGGCGTGAGAGCCCCGATAGCCACCAGTGGGAGCTCTGCCTCCCCGCACGCCCCGGCTCATCCCACGGCTCGGGTAGTAGGATTGTCCGATCGTCTTGCCCGGGAAGGGAGTCTGCGTTGCGGCCACTTGCTGGAACGGAAGTGGGGGGGGCTGCACGAGCTCCACCTGCGACCCGTACGACCCCACTGGTATGGGCCATCGCCCCCAACCAGAACAACAAGATGGCAAACGCCAGACAGGCATGAGAGAGGAAAAAAAAAACGATGAGTGGCCTTTCGGTAAAACGCTTCACAAACCAAGCACCAACTAACTGTTCGTGCGTAGGCAACCACATTTACAAGCAAACCGTATAAAAGCTAGCTTTTCAAAATGTCAAAGTTTGCCATCGTCAGCCACGGTCACTCCACTGCTGGTTGAGGGCCTCCGAGCCACCGACAATCTCCCACGAATCCTGCGATGCAACAAGTCACACGGCACCCTACACACGAGCAGATTTCATCGCTCCATCCAACGGTTGACTTTGGAGTTGTAAACAACTTGAGCCAAATCAATTGTGCCTTTTCTGCTGGCCAAACATTCCACGCGGGACCTTTATGAAATAATACAAAGCGATATAGCACTCCACACGCACACACATTTTGACTGCCAGAAAGTGTGGAGGCCGGCATCACCTGGCTGCATGGGGCTCGGCTGCAAGAGCTGTGCACTCGTGACCGGCTGTGGCTGGAGGTATCCTGGATTGTAGCTCGTCGAGAACGTTGGTTGGCTCTGCGTCTGATCCTCTGCCTCCATTTCACTCTGGGACTGCAGCGAGTTGCTCATATTGAAGACCTGTGAGGGAGGCCCAACGAATGCACAGCACCCGTGGAGTGTGGCCGAGTTGTACAACTGCCACGGGTGGGTTTTTAGATGCATTCCTCAGAATCGCAGCAATGTCCACACAAATAAACTTTTTTTTGTATTTTACCAGATAAGATCCACTGAACTACATAGCTATTTTTTTCAGCAGCAACCTGGCCCCCCGTTATATCTCAACGTAGTTTATTGTGTGGAAATTTATAACAGCCAATTACTCTAAACGCATATTTCTAAATGTGGAGGGAAAAACTGGAGAAAAATGTACGCGGCCACGGGGAGAACATGCAAACTCGAAATATACGGGGCGTCAGGGTCGGGAGACGAACCCACGGCCTCCTGTATACCAGGTGAGGTAGTTATCTAACCATGGTGAACCATAGGAGAATGGATTGACATCAAAAGGAACTTTTAATAGACGGGGACATCTATTGACAGCAAGACATACCACACCACTGGTAAGCAGCTACATATTCAATGGTTCTTGCCACCCCCACATACCCAAACTCCAATTGCACGCGTTTATTTTAGGATTTTGAAACATCATCTATTGAAGACACCCCAACAAGAGGCTCCAGACAGAGTTGAAAGTTGGCTACGGGTGGGGCTACCAGCGCACGTAGACCTGCAAGTATTGCTGAAGCATGAAGTAGCAAGTCTTATGTACAAGCACGAATGGAGTTGGCCAAATATGCAATATATAGGGCCACAGAGCTTGGACAATTAGCTTCAGTTTCTGGCTTCCTTCCGGCTTGTCTATGATTTCCCACGCCTCTGAATCTAATCTAAAAGTGTGCACGTTAGGAATTTGTGTAATTGTATATCTTCTGTTTTAAATTAACAGATGTTAAGTTATATTACTACCCTTAAATTCAAATGTTATTTTTATACCGCATGTTAATGTCACTCAAAACAACGTCTACCACTTATGTAATGCATATAAACACGCAGAGACGGCACGGTATTGTAATATGGATAACCGGACGTGTTGCGAGGACTGGATTCCCGCGTCTTACGGAGTGCATGCTCGTGAAGGGCACGGCGTTGGCGCTCATGTCGGTGGAGATCCGGACGGAGCTGCCCACGGCCTTGGGCAGCGGGCTCGGAGCGGGCGACGGGTAGCCCTGCGACTTGGGGCTCGAGTGCCGCGAGGATGCACTGGCAGGGGACTCGCGCTCCCGCTCCTCAACGGGGGCAGCGTTCACCTGGCGGAAGGGGGGGGGGACGAGCGAGCAGATTGCGAAACTGCCTGGTATCTCCCTCTCCTCCACGTACTCCCCTACCTCGCTCCTCGCTCTCATCTCACTACTCCCCTCCACGCACTCTCCTAACCTCTACTTCCTCTCAGCTGGAATGTTGAAATGGATTGAAAAAAGGACATTAATAGGAATGTGTTTTGCACAGTTATATTTGCGACTGGGCTGATAGCTTATTTTCTAAACGTTTGACAAATTGCGTTTAAGCCACACCTCCTATGAGCACGGTTGGCTATGTACGGTGCGAAGGAAGTTCAAGATGCATACATACATCTCACTACGCACTCTCCTACGTCTCTACCCCACCCATCTCACGACTCCCACTTAATGCATTGTCCACTAGAAATCAACGACCTCTGCTAAAGCCCTCGGTTTACCATTTCTCAACGAGAGGTCACTTCGTCTCTTCTGCTGCCACGCCCCGAGGATGGAACTTCCTTTCCCTAGCCATCTGCGCCGTCGACTCCCTGCCATTATTCAATTACAGGCTCAATACCCCCCCCCCTCCTCATAATGGACCACCTCACTCTACCAAATAAATATTTTCACAGTTTACGTAAAGCGCTTTGATATGCGGTCACATTTAAAAACATGACAACAATCAAAATAGTGTTAAAAAAGACTTGTCAGCATCCTTTGGATTTCGTGAAATTAATTTCAAACCTCGGTCAAGTCCACGTTGGAGTTGGGCGAAACTGGCCGCGATGGGTTTGGCGTCGAGTGAAATATCTGGCAAAGGAATCAAACATTTGCATTTATAAGAATGTACCCAATGACAATATATGCTTTAAATATTTGAATGTTAAAGTCATTAACTGTCATTACGATCATGAAAATACTGTACAAATGTAAAAAGCATTGAAAATATTAAACTGCCTCTTTAAAATGTAAACAAACCGATGGATTTACTGCATTACTGTGGAGTTTACTCACATTTTCAGAATCATAGTTTTGGGTCACAGGCAGAGGAGAGCCGTGGTTCTCCATTTCCATGGTTGGACTGGATGAGTTGGACGAGGAATGGTTTGACAAGGCGAAGGGCAAGCACATCTCCTGAGATGCCATACAACATTAAAGCAAAGGGGAAAACCCACATGAAAAAGTTGACGCCATCAAAGTCTAAATCATCGCCGCATTCCAACTAGTGCGCTGCTTTTGAAAATAAGTGTAGGCGGCCAAAAGTCGTGTGCAAAGCCATAAAATCACGTTCCGTACCTTCTCGGGTGAAAGGGGTTGAACGATGTCAAGACTGGCTGGCTTTTCTTCAGCTGCCCCTATGTTAATGAGCATGCAAAGCTTTATTTTTTTCAAAAACATTGCTTTTATTACGACAGTATTGCTATGATATTGCCATTTGAAAACTCATTTCTTTAAAACTAGTTTGTCCTTTCCCTGCACCTCCGATTATCACGATTGGCTACGTACGGAACGAAAGAAGCTCAACATATATACAGTGACGTAGAATGAGAATAAAATAATACATTGATAAAATAAAATAACACAATAAAATTCTCACGACGTTTCGGCCACAACACAAGCCGCTTGCGTTTCGCCCACGACACAAGCCGCTTGTGTTGTGGCCGAAACGTCGTGAGAATATTATAGTGTTATTTTATTTTATCAATTTATTATTTTATTCTCATTCTACGTGGTGACTTTACCGAAAGAACCAAAGAAGATGAATCCTTGCAGTCACGAAAGCTTTAAATCGAAATATATACAGTGGTATTCGCAATGGTGAAGGCGGGCCTGGTTTACCTGCGGTTGCCGTTACGTTTGGCAAAGCAATTCCCTGCGCTGCCATGCACTGATGACTCAAAACGGGAGACGTTTCTGCACCTCTCTCTTGATCGCTTTCAGGTTCTATCAGGGACTCCTGGACAGGAATACAAATAAAAAGTTCGTAACATTTACAAAGCTCATCTGTCAATAAAACGTTCAAAACAGCCTACTTACTCATCAACTATTTATTCGAATGCTCAATATTTGCCCGATTATAACGAGGCACAACAATGATGCATACGCATATATTCTGTAGCACTTCCAACCCGAGTTGGTTGTCCAAAGTGATTCATTAGCGATAATAATTTTTATCTTGTGAGCTGCACAACGAGAAGACGTCACACGTGACAGACATCATCAGGAGGGGCGTGTTTGACGTGCGATGTCAGCACCTTGGTCAAAATGGGCTTCGTCCATTTAGTAGGTTTTTTTTTTAAACCGTCAAGATTTAAGAGACTCTTTCATCAATTTGTCCAGTTTTTTTCTGAAGAAAATCTTTACAAGCAGTTATTGTGACCGCACATTACATACAGACAGCCAGGCATAGATGGACAGATAACCCAAAGAGGTTTTCACCCAAGGTAAAAATCAGAATATTTATTTATCTAGCGAGCTATTTTCACAGATGCACAGTATGGGAAAGTCGGAAAGCTACAACAAACAATACAAAAAAAAGATCGGAGTGCAAAGTATCGGAAGGGAAAGAAATCACTAAAAATAAACACAAAATGGGTAAAGTATATTAAATTCAAATTGCATAAGTATACCAATTCCAAAACTTGGCAAGGCAGCAAAATAGCAAGAAGAGTCCCAGACCACACCAACACCACACAGTCCTTCAATACAATTGTACACATTAAAATGTAACTATCGATACATGGGTAAAGATGAAAGTAAAAGTTGAAAAGCTTGAAAATATATATAACACAAGTTTAACAAATGGGGAGCGAGATACGAGAGCCAGTCACCTGCATGAAGCTAAAAGTTCCCTGCATCTGGGCTATGAGGTCCAGCAGGCGCTGCCGTTTCGTTTTCGGGTCAAGGGTCGCATCCGGCAACTCCAGGGGTCCGTTGAGCACCGGGATCTCCAATACCGGTGCTGATATTTGGATCTCCAACTTCTTCACTGGAACTGCGATCTTCTTGGGTTGGGGGGGCAGCAGCAGCCCAGATTCCTTGGCCAGCTGGCCAATTGAAGGGGGGGAGGAGGGGTGGAGACATTGTGTTATACAGAGTTGTACAAATACAGCATTGTTATTAATATTTTGCTATGTATAATAACAAAAAAAATACGTATGCGGAACTTATTTCGCACTGTACGTAGCCATCCGTGCCAAATCGGAGGTGCGGATATCTATTATATTTAAAATATATCATTAAAAGCATTCATTTTCAATTGAAATTTGAGGACTTACATTTTAAAAACAATTCTTACCGTTGCGAGCGATCGTTCTCTTTTGGGAAGCCTTTGCTAAAAAAAATTAAGGCGAGAGAATGCAATGGCAATAAGGGGATTGTTATTAAAAAAACTTTTAAATGTTTGTTATAGAAATTAAGTGCATAAAATAAGATGCCTACCTCCAGAGATTCAAACTGCAGGCTTGGTAATACCTCCGATGACTGGGAAACTTGAACTTCAGAAACATATTGTCGGTTCACGAACTAAACAGAGCCACATTTCATAAAATAAGCAGGAAATTTAATTGAAATAATGCATCTGTGCCGGTGCCTAATACCAGTGCAAAAAACTAAATAAAATCACTTTCACAAAACTACAACAACTTCTAAGATAAGTCTCCTTACCTCCCTTGTTTTCACGGCTTTTGGAGACGCGGTGACATGTGTTGGAATATTAAGGCCTTGTGGAAAAGAGAGGAAGAGCAGTAAAGAATCACAGCACACACCTCGGATTTAGCAGTAAAGAATCACAGCACAACACATAAGACTTTAACCGTTGCCATCAAAAGGCATCGGCCGTCGTTGGTCTCCTCGAGTCTAGCGATCAAGGTGAAGAAGGCCCCAAGGGTCAGATGGTGGGAGGTCATGAAGGGGGGGGGGAGGGGGGGATGTCATGACAAATCTTTGAGATTGCACGTCTACTGTGCAGCAGTTTGCAAGACCTGGCAGAGGGTGGGAAAAGTGATGGCGAGGTTTTGGTGGCGGCATCAGTGGCTCTGGCCACAATGACTTCGTGATTAAAACTTCGCGCTAACATTCGCCGCAGCTTGCGTGCCGTTCGAGGGATGGATGGTAACAAACTTTACAATCGCCCTTGTGATGGAATTACATTTCAAGGATTCGATTTGAGAATTCATCCCTTTTTTGGGTTTCAACGATGTAAACATGGCGGCCTCTACTGGCCACAAAGGTCACGTGAACCAGCGATACGAAACGGATGAATCGAACAATCAAAACTGTGCTATAGTCGACCTTTTTCCATATAAGAGAACAATAATATACACATGCATATGCCTTTTTTTCCCCTCGCTACGCCATTCCTAGTGTGTGTACAAGTGACTTGACACCTGGTTACATTTAGGTTATCGATCCACTTTGCTGTTCACGATCGCACTATTATCGGTATGCCGCGATTAATTCAAGCCACCCTTTGGGGGTGGGGGGGGGGGGGAAGTTGTATTTATCATGTTGCAGATTTTTTTTTAAGTGCTCAGAATACTAATGGCTATGACAACATTCGCCTCGTTTTCGCACAAGGTGCACCGAGGGTCTGGCCTATGACAGGACGCTTCATTATATCTTGAACTCGACGGCCTTCCCCCACGACCCCCGCCTGCTCTGATGAGTCCGTGTGCCCGATACCGTCGATGCACCTGATAATTCAGTCCTGAACGTGAGGATGTTGCAAAGTATGATGCGAGGGAGGATGTGGAATAAAAAAGTGTATATACATTAAAAAAAATACTTTTGAACACGACTGCACTTCACCGCTTTTGCGCATCAATTATCCAAAGCAAAACCAAACGTGGTTGTTTTTGTTGTTGTCGGCACAATGTGATTCAACCCAAGCAAACACTCCAAATCTGTTGAAACGTACTTTCATATTACTCACAAAAAGTATGATCGTGCCCATCAGTGGACGATACGTTTCCACCAGCTGCGGCTTTCTAACACAAAGCCAATCTCAGATTTACCCAATGTTTTTTTTTTGCCTTAGTAATATTTTCCAAGGCTATGTTGCAACACCGAATTGATAACGTCCCCGTGTAGAAGACTGCAGCAAAAGTTAAGGCGTGTGCACCGTTACTAAAACACCAACAAACCATAGCAGTCCACCAAAGTGCACACGGTGCACGCGAGGGTTAAAAACGATCTGAATTGCACTCCCTACCAAACATATTTCTCACCTATGCTTTTGGCGACAGGTGTTGGAGGTGGAGTGAGCGGATGGATGCGCTTGTTCACTTTGTCGTTATTTTTGACAGGAGTTTTTTCACTCTCTTCCTCCGAACTCTCAGGTATGTACTCCGGAATTTTGTCAAAGTATCCGCACTTTATCACTTTGCTCACAACCTCTTGCACATTGTCTGGGATAAGATAGAGAAATAAAAAAAAGACTTTTAATATGAGGTAAAAGGTGCTCACCTTCAATGACTTACTCACTCGGAAAAAGGGAGCTCTAGACAGCCCCCCCTAAAAAGTGTATTTTGGCCTACTCTTCCATGCTGGCCAGAAGGGGGGAGGGGGGGATTTACTCACACTTCACCCCACCAGATGCAACCTGCCGATCTACGAACCGTAGTGCACCCCTTTAATTTATCCCGGTCGGTTGAGATAAGTGGAAGGATTTCAGAAATGTGCCGATGGCTTAAACTGCCATGCACACTGGGGGACAGGAGCAGTCCAGGTGGCCAGTTCGAGATTAAAAAGAATGGTGATGTAATAAGCATGCAACTTTCTATTTCAAATGTTAGTGGAGTACATACGAACAATTTCTTGTTTGAATATATGTGTAAAAGCTCTTTAAAGTATTTTTTGGCATGTTTAGTCGGATTTTCGTAACTACTTACGAGCATCGTCTGAAACGCTCTCTTTGCCTTCCAGAAACTCCCACAAGTGGATAGATGCGTTTTTCATCTGCGTGTCAAAACTGCCCACATGTAACAGGACATTGCAATATAAACTGTTATCAATAGCACACACTGTGATTTTAAGACATTGGTTAAAGACGGTTAAACAAGAAATTGAAATCACATTTAAGAATTGTACCGGTATACGAAAAATACATACGCAGTGGTGGCCGCTCCCACTGTTGTAAGCCAATCGGTTTCGAAGACAACGCATATATAATTATCAGAGCGTGTTTGTTTGCATGTTTTGCCACAAGTACGTGTGGCTAATGCAGTCTCGGTGCCTTGCAATAGGTGTCTCTCTTTGGTGTTTGGCCATCTTAACACCTCCTGTGTCATTGCCAGAAACAACAAGGCCCGTTCTCTCTTTCTTTCATCATGCTCATTAAGATAAAAAGATCGAATTAATATTCGCTCTCTCTCGTGTCTGCTTCACAATCATCTCCGCTCACTACATCTATACCGTCATCTCGCAAGGATTTTACAAAGAGCAGCCCCCCCCCCCCACCAAAAATAAAATTCTGCTTAGTCCATCAGTGAGCTAGTAACTCCCACTGCCGTCTGGTCCATCCCTACTGTCGAGAATGTCATTAGGTATTGACCCAACTGCCTTCATCTAGCAAGCTTTTCATTTGTATTATATACGACAGGTGTATTCGTAATGCACAGTATAATACAGTGATGCTTTGTGCAACATAAATTATTCCGTTTACAATAGGCTCCAATTCCATGTGGGAAGAAACTGGAGTACTTAGAGGTGGGAAAAAAAATGCATAAGATTCATAGCTTAGCAAAAATTACGAATTAATCCACTGCTATTCTACCATCCCTTGAACTCACGTCCCCCAGGTTCGTAGCTCCCAACACTACCGCTGGACACACCACACGCGCGCGCGCGGGTACCTAATGTCCTTCTCGCGGTTGGGGTGGATCAGGGAGTACATGTCGTCGAGGGCCTTTAACTCGACGGGCGCGAGCATCGCGGCGCCGTGCAGGCCCCGCGTGAAGTCTCGCCGCACGTTCTTGTTGCCCAGGTGCTCGAGCACGTACTGCAGCTCCACGACGGTCCTCAGCCGCCTCTTCTCGCTCTCCTCCTGCAGCAGCAGCTTGCAGTGGGCGGCCTTGCGCTGCGATTTCTGAAACTGAACGAGCAGGAGCCGACGCACCCGACGGCGGCGGAGGGGGGGGGGGGTTTGTCGTGCCAATGAGAGTCGCCTCTCGTTGCTTTCTTCGCGAGCGATCTCAGCGCAGCCATTCCATTCGTCGTCGCGAATGTGGTTTTTTTTTTTTACACGTTTAAATGGTCGTTTTAGTCTTATTTTTTATGTAATAGAGCGAACGTCACGATTGTTGATATTGACCACTACGGCAACAACCACCACCAGGATCACAACCAACCACCGCAGCAGCAACACTTCAATGACAAGCTTACCACGATGATCGCAACCACTACAGCAATTAGCGGGGAGGTAAAATTTATACTTTATTTTTTAAAGGACAAACACAGGAAATGGGCATGGAAAAGCCCAATTGGAAAATTCATGAACGAGATTAACACTCTTTGGTTCTTTCGGTAAAGTCACGTAGGTAGAAAAATAATAGATCACGATGTTTCGATCGCAACACAAGCAATCGTCATCAGGTGGGACAACCACAGCAAGAAGCAGTTTTTTTCTTGCTGTGGTTGTCCCACCTGATGACGATTGCTTGTGTTGCGATCGAAACGTCGTGATCTATTATTTTTCTACCTACGCGACTTTACCGACAGAACCAAAGAGTATGGATTCCTGCAATCACGAAAGCTTCGAATCAAGATTGAGATTAACTTAATTCAAACGGACAATCCCCTATGCCATCAGACACGTCTCGGTCCTTGACGAATTCAAACATAGTTGCACTTTATCATAGCCAACGGGAAGGCAATACTACTGGTAACGTATGTGATCAAAAATTAACTGTATGCTATGGAATACTCTGGATAGAGTTATTTAATTACCTTTACACTGTAGAACGTTCTGGAAGATCACACTACAAAAAAGAACAGTGTCGATTTTAACACAACTGCGGTTCTATTTCTCCCTAATGAGAGCCACTTTACGTGAAAGTGTGCGCTGTGCAGAGGGAAGGGGAATGTTTACATGGGTTTCTGATATAATAACTACATTAAAGGTTAAATAATGACTTGCAGCTGCTGAGCGAATACATTAAAACGGTCGCACTCGTTGCACACAAAAGTGCTTGCCACAAATGAACCACAAAACCTCGCCCATCTCGTCAAGGAGCATAAACCATCACACGAACGCCGGAGGTCATCCTTGCAGCGGCTTTTGGCTAGCCAGCGAACAAAGATGGCAATTGCAACATGTGCTTTCAGATGCGCTTCTGCGGCCGCCTGGAACGCTTTTTCCTTACGATATTAGGAAACCACTGGAGCTATGCACTTAAATCTAGATTGAAAAATAATTTCTAAATGCTTTTGGTGTCTAGTTTGTTGCACTTAGCCAACCGTGCTAATCGGAGGTGCTGGAAATGTACGGTGCAAAAGAAGTTTAACTTACCTACACACCAATGGCAAATGTAAAACTGACCATCATTTGGTTACAAGCGTAATCACTGCATCATCCACACTCTTCCTTTCATCATGTAGAAAAAACCTAAAACGTACCTTAGATTTTGATACTCACCTCTTGGTTCAGAGTCGTGAAGGTCTTTTGGACATCCTGCGCAAATTCCAAATTGCCAATAACTTCCTGGTAACTATTTACAGCTTCCTGTGAGGCCAACAACAATTTTGGTCTGAAAATATTTTACCCATCATGACTGACATTACAGCAATTATACACAGCCCAATATTAGGGCAACAAAGTCACGTGGAAGAAATTAAAGCCCAACGCCTTCACAATCCAATACATTTTAAGTTGGAATTTATTTTAAAAACTCTGACTACAAGAACACATTGCGAAAACGAATTTGTATCCACACAACAATTTCCATTAAGTGATGTCCAAGTGACCGTGATGTCGCCACAGCTCGTGCCAGGCTAAGTGCACTTTGTGGTGATATGAAGCAAATTTATTTACGCACCCTTAGAAATAATATCTAATAACTCTTGTTGTTCAAGGATACACAGGTCATTTTATTACCGTGTTAAAGGTGCAGCAAACACCAAATCTTCAGCCAATTGCTTGGGGGTTGCTTCAGCCCATCACCTCTCAAGGGTCCATAAAATCAGTACCACTTTATTGGGAAGTCAAATTGAGGTTTGTCCTTTGGATAGACTCGCCACTGCAATAGGAATTTAGAGGCAAGTCCCTTAACTGGCGTTGTAAACAGGAGGCGAGCACCCCTCATCGGGAAACCACATATTTCAAATCAACAAAAACCATAAAACTGGACAAAATAAACTGAGAAGGCCATAATGTATGAAGAAGAGGGCCGGCAATTTGGAGGTTTGGGCACGTTAGCCACCTAATTCGGCATCCTTCTGCTGTATCCACTAGTAACTTGCACTCTCAAAGAGCCTACCCCGAACAAACTAACCAACCAGCCACTAGAGCTAGCCTTTCCACCGACTAAACATCTTGCCACTCGTCTTGGTTTCCCACATCCGTAATCGTTCTCACCACTTCTAACCAGCCACTAATATACCAAGCCACCCACCAACCCGAACCAACTAGCCCAACCAGTCACCGGTGCTCGCCCTCCGACTTACCCCACCTTTAACCACAACAGACTAACCTACCACCCACCGTCAACCCTGTAAAGCAGGACGCTGTTTGTAAGGGGGTAGGGGTTGGTGGTGAGGAGGCACGAATATCAGTGCTAAAACAAACTTTAAACAAACGCTACCGCACAGGATGTGTAACGGCACGCGGTGCCTCAACCACGCGTCGACTTTGCGTGCGTTCTGCTGGAGCTCTCTCCACCGGCTGTAACGCCTACCGTCTAATTGTACTCAATGATGCTAAACCAAACTGGCTTTGTTTTCTACTTTACCAAGTAAGGCCCCACTGAACGATGTAGCTCTTTTTCAGAAGCGATCTGGCCATCAGCAAATCACGTGGCTTTATCATCACGTGGACATTTCAGGCAGCCAAATATTCTAAAGGCACGACGATTCTAAATGTGGAGGTGGGGGGGGAGCCGGATGACCTGGAAAAAAATTCCACGCGACCACAGTGAGAGAGAGACACGCAGACTCGAAATACACAGCAGGCGGCGTCAGGGTCGGGGTCAAACCCACGACCTCCTGTGTGTACCAGCCGAGGTCCCTGGCATCTCCCCCATTCAACACGCGACACCCATCACGTTCATTTGTACAGCCCCCTCCAATCAATTTTTTTTAACTCGACAGAGGCAGTGGCACAGGGGTGGGGGCCGAGGGGGGAGGGGGCAGGAGGGGGCTGAGCCTTCAGTTTGGGGGGGGGGATGTCGGGCGGGGGGGGGGGGGTGTCGGGGGGGGGGGATGTCGGGAGGGGGGGGGCTCATCCCCCGCCCGCACCCCTGCCCAGCCATCGGACTGGGTGGTACCCCCCCCCCCCCGGTCCCGAGCGCTTGTGCCCTTGCCAGCCACTCGCTCACCTGCTGGTCAAGGTTAAGCTTCTCGTCGCTGTCCAATCTCTCCCGATACCCGTCGAGTTTCCCCTGCACGCATGCGTCAAACAGAGAGGGGGGGGGGTTACATCTGGTCATATACAAGGTGGTCCCAGATGTCTTGTGCCCCCCCCCCCCGCATTTTTTTCATTCTCTAAAACTGAATTATTATTGTTTTAAGCAAAGTTCATTTAATACAGAAATTAATATGCAAAAATTGTTAGGGGTCGATTAATTGGGGGTGGGTGTGGGGGGCGGGGTCACATTATATTTGGACCACTCTGTGCACGGAAACTGCAGCACCCGAGCGTTTAACATGGGCCAAACGCTAAATTCCAAAACATAATATGTATTTTTTTACAACGAATCCCCACTGCCCCATGCTCAAATATACCTGCGTGGTTACTCCCTTAAGATTAATAATTCACTGCTGGACGAAGAGGCCTTCGCCATCGTCCACGCCGTGGTACTTATTTGACCATACTTCACCGCACTGGTTCGCGCGAGTTGGGTCTATCACTCGCCACTCGATGTTAGCCGTGGCCGGGGAATCGAACCAACTCGGGGGGAGGTGGGGGGTTGGAGAACCGCGGTCCACACCGCAGCCGCGCGTCAAACACCGCAATCTCTGCTCCCACCCACCCACACAGATGCAGTGCTGTAACGTTCAAAGGCGCGGCCCCTGCAATTGCTTTCTCTCGCCACTGCTGGCGGACAAAAAAGGAGGGCCCTCCCACTCGAGTGCGAGCGCTCGAGAGAGAGAAAAGCCACGAGAGTTATTCGGCCTTGCAAATTATAAAAAAACGCCCCCATCGTACACAGCAAGTTGAGGTTACTCGCCCAAATTAAACGAATTCGTTAAAAAGTGATGACTGCATGGGGAGAATAAATCGCATGCGGTAACAAGCACACGCAGTCCAATATTTCCAGCAATTGAATGTAAAAAAAAAAATCGCAAACCTAACCAATGCCTGGAAATAAAAGCCACGGCTTTAAACAACAAAAATCGATTCCATCCCAAAGCGTATTTTGTATTCAGGACCTCCCCGTTCTACAGTCTTGCTACAGTGCACGACGAATGACAAAGCAATGGAGGAGGCAACATTTGTTCTCAGACAATGCACAATTGGAGCCATCCCCTCCATCACGCCGCACACACACGCGTGTCCCATGCTACGCACAATTAAACCCGAGAATCAAACCACTTCGAAGACGCCGGCTTTGAAAAATCTCACACATATATAATATATGTACACCCGTATACAATACAAGCAAGTAGATCAGCACACACAGGCGTGCTTGCAGTCTAGAACTGCGCGGCTAAACAAGAATCGAGGCAACGGAAGTCCACAGCACACACTGCGCAAAAGTTTGGGGCGTAAATCAATTCACGTAATTTACCTTTCGTTTTTCCAAGTTCCTTATTTTGTGTTTCAGATAGACCATCACGTTATCGATGTAGCTCTCATACACGCCCGTGAGCGTGCGAATGCCTCTTCTCTCGGTCGCACTCTGCTTCTCTTGCATGGTGGGCTTAGGCACGATCATATTTGGCGTCGAAAAATGAGTGAGGATGGGATGAATGAATGAAACACAACAGAGAGGATCGTTCCTCCTCCTCCTCCCTCCCTCCCTCTGCCCACACCCGAGCCTCTCGCGACAAACCAAAGAAACTAGAGGCGGGCAGACGCACTGCAGACGCTTATATAGCTCACGCGGTGTCCCACAAGTCATTGCAAATTTCCTTGGGAATATTATAATAAATAAAAATCATATTAATTCGCATAAAATTGCGTTACCTACCAAGTACATGTACCGAGAAGCGTAACCACAAATAATTTTTAAGTCAATTTTTTGTTTAAATACAAGATCATCGATGCGTTGTTTTTGAGTCTTTGAATTTAGCTGAAACTACCGGATTGTAATTGCACGTCCTAATAATCGGAACAGAATGGCTTTCAGTAGATATTGAAAGGGTTTCAGAACATTAAACTGCTCATGTTTAGTCAGGGAAATCATGATCATAATTGTCCGATTCTTTGTTGGTTTTCACTGAACACGAAGTGTAGTCGTCAATTAATGACGGATATGAAAGCTCATCACGCCAAGTGGCCAGCAACACGCGGCACCATTTACAACGGATAGGTGATTACAATTAGATAATTTTCATATAATAATGTATGACAAAAAATGTATACTTTTTATGAACTGTTGTAGTTCTTTTATACAGGAAAAGAATAATAGAATGAAATAATATCCCATAAGTTATTGTAGTCACTAACTGTACAAAATAAAAAAAACTGATAACATTGTAATCACGAATGACAAGTCTTTAATAGGAATATGCAATGATCACATTCACCCTGCGGCATACAAGTACAGTACAACAATGTGCAGGATTGTGCAGTAACTTACCTCTGTTCCCAACAACATAGCCCCTGTACCGTAGAATAACCTGGTTAATAATGACATTGTTTTTTGGGGTTAGATCGTGAAGATATGTTATTTGTTGGACTATAATCCTCCACCATCCGACATAGCCTATCAAAACAATTTGTAACGTAAGGCAAATATAACAATTTATTTGTTTTTTCACAAAAAAACTATAGTTTTTACCATTTTGTCAAAAACTATTTCTGGAGAATTTTGCCAATGAAAATTGTCAATAAATGTGCTTGCATTTCAAAATTCCGGTTATTAAACCGACTGCTGTGCCTTTACATTATGTCTAAATGTAAAGTGTAAAAAAGTAAGAATTGCACCTACAATTATACACGTGTTGTGCTAAAGTGTTTATTTTCCCCCACACAGAATACCGCCACGTGAGCCCCTGTATACGTTTGACATTTGGGGTTTGACCAGGTACGGAGATTGCAATTGACGTGTACAATAGGGTCTACGCTTTTAAATCATTACCGTAAAAACGCGTGAAATATTCACATCACTGATTTATGTTTATGTGTCATATACTGTATCCTTACTGTAAGAGTGGAGCGCATCTAAAAAACCAGAAAATCAAGTATCGGAGCCCACATGCGCCCAGACCAGATATTTAATTTGCCGTTACCACCCGAGGTGGCATGGCTTTAGTCGTTCCAATGGCTTTATGTGGCCAATAACTGTGGAATTATGCGATAACCATTTGAAATGAGTGGCAATAAAATAATTAAGTCTTAAGTAGCGGTATCATTACATCGGTATGATACGCGTTTCGCTCCTTGAGGTGGTTCCAATTCCGTATCTGGCCCTTAAACTAGCAGACGGCCATCTAAGTTTTTCACGCGAGAGAACATTGAACCGATATTATATATATTTTTATGAACGCATGTTGAAAATATATGGTGATATTGCACCATTTATATGCAACAGTTGTTTGTATCCTTTATTTGCCCAGGAGCTGAAATAAACACATTGAGTCAAGGGAAACATTGCCTCGTTTGCAAGGGTGACCTGGGTTGTACATGAAGTTTAAAGGTGGAATTAAAAAATTCGTGGCAGACCGTTGAAGATGAGCTGAGCTAAGGGCAGCTTGCGACTACAGTGACTTCTATCCAAAAGTGCCTTTAGAGTACTTGGCTGCTAGACATTTCCACGTGATAAGGGGCCGTCCATAAATGACGTCACGCACCTAGTGGGGGTCAGACATTTGTGACGCCGTGTGACGAGGGGGGTTGGGGGTCAAAATCGTCGAAAATTGCGTGACGTCAGTTATGGACGGCCCCTAAGCCACTTTGTTGAGCTCTCATTTGTGGCCAGGTAGCTTCTGAAAAAGAGCTACATAGCTCAATGGGATTTTACCTGGTAAATAAAAAAATATAGTTTAGTTTAAAATGAGAACATCAAGGCTGCGTGAGACATGATTGTGGAAGATCACCGTGTTACTGTTGTGCAGTCAGCCGACATGCGACATTAAGGGGGCGCGTCCAATAACTTCCCATGACAACAAGTTTGACCGAATAAAGGCAAACTGGCACAAGTTAAAGAGGCAATTTATTACTGGTGGTTAGATCTGGAATAAAACATTGAGAATCAGAGCCTCAACGGCAGCCACAAAAAATCTAGTCGAAGCACTATGTAGGCAATATGCGTTTCATATGATACACATGAGTCAAAGGGCTGTGGAAAGACAAGACATACACCCTTGGTTCTGCATGACAGTGCTCCAGTTCACACTGCCAAGATTTACAAAGGATGGTGTCAAGGAATTCCACGTTTAAGGAACTCCTGCATCCTGCCCCTTCTCCAGGCTTGGTATCCAGTGGCTCTCACCCGTTACCCAAAATGGAAGGAGCATTTGCGTGGAAAGCATTTTGACGATGATGAGCTGAATGAGGTAATGCAGAGGAACCTGAATGAGCGGAAATAAATCGTATTTATGGAGGTATTCAAATGCTTCAGAGACAATAGCGCACTGAGAACGGTTGTTTAAACGCGCTTTATGAATTTAAACAATTATATGAAGAATAGATTTTTAAAAAATCTGAATGTGTTGAATATTTAATGTGGTTCTTATAAGTATATGTACTTGGTATATATGTTCGTCTCATTTTTCAACAACTATCATATACTGTTGTTACATCACTCAATCATTTTCTCTTGAGTGTAAAAGTATTTTGCTCTTTAACCTGACCAAGAGCAATTTACACAAACTGTTGCATCCGTTACGGATTTTACGGACAGGCCCACATCCCACTTTTGAACATTGAAGTGGAAAGGCGAAGTTAACTTTTTTTTTAGAACAATATTGTTGACTAGCATGTCACATCGACAAAGCAAGGTTACTCTTGAAGTGTCTTCCTTGTGTGGTAAATACACAACAAAGTCATTCACGTTATAAGTTACAGCTTTATTTCACTGTCATATATATATTCGATCATACCTCGTAAAAGGGAATCATTGTTGGCAGTGGAATCTCATTGTAAATGTAGGTGTGGTGAGATCACCACCCATGGCAGTCTTAAATGATTAACATGTATGATTAGCACATAGGTTTTTTCACAGTCACTCATAATTCAAGTGTAGTGTTCTTCCACGTTGAGCCGCTGCATGTCGAGCATTATATCTCCCGAGCTTTCACTATGCACTCCTGCGGGCATCTTCTCTGAAGAAGCTGCTCTGAAGATGCCTGCGGTAATGTGTGGTGAAAGTAAATTTTTAACTCAATGCAGTGTTTATACATCATCATCATCATCATCTGCTACAATGCTTGTACCACCCATATAAACCATATAAACATGTCACCTGTGACTTTATAAATCTTACAACTCTACCTTGACCACTCTGAGGTATGTCAATAAGATTGTCCAGTACATTAGACGGTAATAAAAACTTTACGGGAGTGGAGTGGTAGCACACTGTGGTTAATGCACTGCTCTATGACCCTGGTGACTTAAGTTCCATTCAAAGCCACGGTTAACATCAGTGGCAAGTGAGATCTCCACTGCCGCAGGCACCCCCTTCGCTTCTCCAACAGTATATAAAGGGCATAATTTTCGAAAAATTCGTTCAAAGCCATATTTAATGCCATAGGCTGCATAGCAAAACAATATAGACCCAGCTAAGCAAGACCACCTCCTGCCACCTGCTCTCAGCCTCATGACGATGCTGAAATGATGTCAGTGATGAGTGTGATAGGAGCACAAGGGACGGGTCCGATGTCCAATGACTCCTGTAGAGCAGCAACGTGCTCGCCTGCAAGCTCTGCCTCCTCGTGAAACACACGAATCCACTTCTCACCTGGAACACGGGGAGAGGCGGCATGAGCTTCTGTTTAATGCATGATGCATAGATTGTGTTTAAACGACGACCATCACATATATCATTGTGCGGTCGTTGTCACTCGACCATTCCCTCATTTGTAATTGAACAAGGTAGAAATGTTGGCACAACATTGGCACAACATTTCTCCTTGGCGTGCTGAGTTTGATTCCCGGCTGTGGCTAACATCAGTGGTGAGCAATAAAACAATACTTATTTATCAAAGAAAGCCACAACTGAGTCCAAAAACTTTTTTTAGGAGGGCCCTGCTATTTTGGGTTATTTGACCAACTCCAATGTCATTGTTATGGGCCTGCTCTCTCTTGACCAACCGGTACTGACCAGCGTGGCAAATATGTTCAAACAACTCCCATGACAAAACAACAAGGCATGGGAGGGCATTCATCCAGCAGTGGCATGACAAAGGATTACGTAATAGATTTAAAATATATATTTTTTATTGATCGTAAGACTTAGTTTTCGGATTTATGTTCCAAAGTTGAATTCAATTATTTAAGATCACGTATTTTAATGATACCTTTTTACTCAAGTTTAATCCCAATTGTGCCGTCGGTATTCTGTCACGTGACAAAGTATACATTTGCACCTCACACAGCAGTGCAGCTATTTCTGTGAGAACAGCCCGTGGAAGCGGACATCACAGAGCTACATCCAAGTTCTCTTTTAAGTAATGTCTTGGTCGACACATGATGGCAACAGCACTTTCCCAGCCACTCAACATTTGAGAGCAATGTTCATTACATTTTCCCGTCCGCACAGCAGCTAACCATCAAGCCTCTATGCTAAAAAGACGATCACTGCATCGCGTGCTTTGAGATACGCTTCTGCGGCCGTCTGGAATGCTCTTCCTTCCGATTTTAAGAAGCCCACTGGAGCCATGCAATTTTAAAATCTAGATTGAAAACTCGTTTTTTTATAATTGTTTATTGCGGGTTAGTTTGTCGTCATTCTCCCGCACACCTCCGATTAGCACGGTTGGCCTACATACTGTGCGAAAGAAGTTCAACATACATACACATGACAGTCAAACTGATATTCAATTCTCAGAGTTGGAATGTATTCAAAATGTGGTGCAGCATCCAAACTCAAAAAATGTTTAACACGTGTTAAAACGTCACGTCGGGGGCAGGCATGCACGGGCACGTGGGCGGTGTCACCTCGGGTGAGGCGGTGTCCGACGGGAGCGAGGATCTGGACGCCGACGCTGTGGTTTACCGGGTCGCCCACCTGACTACGTCCCACTCCCAGCTTCTGCAAAACTATGGCCAAGGCCATTGCATCTATCGATTGGACAAACCCTGGAAGGAAGAAGAAGAAGAAGAAAAGACATCCATTTTAGTTGTTTTCACCGGCAAGCAATTTTTGGCACTCTTGAAAATTTTTAACAAGAGGCCCTCTATTTAAAGCTTTCGTGACTGCAAGGATTCATCTTCTTTGGTTCTTTCGGTAAAGTCACGTAGAATGAGAATAAAATAATAAAATAAAATAAGACAATAAAATTCTCACGACGTTTCGGCCACAACACAAGTAGCTTTCTTCAGGTGAAGTAACAAAACTGTCGGGACGACAGTGCTTCAATACATTGGAGCTCTGTGCTTGTGTTGTGGCCGAAACGTCGTGAGAATTTTATTGTCTTATTTTATTTTATTATTTTATTTTCATTCTACGTGACTTTACCGAAAGAACCAAAGAAGAGGCCCTCTGTTGTGGCTGAGAGAAGGAAAAATCCTTTTCAATATTGTGAGTTAAAAACAACGATTATTATTACACGTCCTCTACGCTTTGTCCATCTCGTCTGCAGGTCGTCCTTTATTTGAATTGGGTTTATATTTGGCCTTTCAATTGTTTATATTTCCTTTAACTTCAAATAATTAATTCATTATATCTTTCACTTAACTGTGGTTTAATAACATTTGTACTATATATACTCTTGGGTCTTTCGGTTAAGTCACGTAAATAAAAAAGTAATAGATCACGACGTTTCGATCGCAACACAAGCAATCGTCTTCAGGTGGGAAATGAAAGTTCAAGATTCTGCGTTGCTGGTTATTACCGTGCCACTTGTCCCATTGTGGGGGGCTTTGTTATTCGTTTTAAGTACAAGGGGGAACGGAGCATGTCGCGGCAGCAGCTGAGTAAAACTAGGTTTTAGTACGCATGCTAAACCTCGTTTCTCGAGCCAGCCGTCGACTCACTTTACTTTCTGACCCGCCACCTACTGGAGGACATCTATGAAACATATCTTTAGAGCTCATCGGATTCGTCCAGCACAAATAACTATTCTCATTCTGATACTGCGGCAGTAAAATCACTCTAAACTGCTGGGAAGAGGGGGAAAATGCATTGTACATTTTTTTATAGATAATAATGTTGTCTTTACGTGGGGCAGAGTTACACACCAGTGAACAGTGCATGTTGATGACGGCCTTCATCAACGAGCATTAACATGAGTTTAACACGCAGGCATTCGAGACCAATATCGTCCACATTAGATTTTTTTTTGGGGTTAGACCGCGTGAATATTAAAACGTGTCGTTAAACCCGCCACCACCCGACACAGCCAATTAGCAAGGTTTGTCACGTAAACTAAACATGCCAATTCGCCTGATGCAGCTCGTTGTAATTGCTGGTGATACGTCGTACTCGGATTGTAAACGCTGTGGCTTTGCTCTCCAACACACCAGTGTGCCGTACTAGTATACTACACTATACACTACACTATACACTACTATACACTACACTATACACTACTATACAATACACTATACACTACTATACACTACACTATACGCTAGTGCTGTACTAGTAACGAATTGCCATGTTTTATTTACGAACACATGCAATTTACTAAGGTTTACGTGACAAACCTCAGTAAATTGGTTGTGTCGGGTGGTGACAGGTTTAACGACACATTTATATATTTACGCGAGCCAACTAAAAAAAACCTGTATTGTGGATTAACATGGGTGTTGAAACATTGCTTCATGATTGTGCACTTCGCTAAACTTGCCTCTTTTCTTGGTAGTCGTAACACAATAATATTAGATCAAGCTTATGGCCAAATCACCCAGGATATGCCCAATTTCGTCAGATCTTCGAAAGCTAAGTTGGGTTTTAGCCTGCATAGTGTTTGGATGAGCGATCACCATGCATCATTTAGGGGTTATAGGCTGCTGTGGAGCTATTTTGTGGGCAGTAGAGGATATTGCAGCAACATCCATTGTATGCTCCCTGCTTTCTACAACCCACGCTGATGAGCACGGCGAGGCTTGGCTAAATAACCCCCAAGGCCCGCGTGGTGTAGTGGAACAGAATGCAACATTTCGTTTTACCATCTTGATCCACTGACAAATACGTGGAGTACTTGGCTGGCTTCATTGTCCCAGAAAAATCAGAATCCCTGCAAAGCCTGCGAGCGACGCCTGCCTCGACACCCTGCGCCGTCAACATCGCCTCGAACTTGGCCAGGGCAGAGCCATCGAGCAGCACGCTCCTGATCTGTTCCTCGCCCTCTTCAGCCGACCCCACCTTGCCGATCGCGTTCAGCAGCAGGCCACCTGTCCAGAAAAAAACAAAGGGGCCGTCCATAAATGACGTCACGCGATTTTGGACGATTTTTGACCCCCCCCCCCTCCTCCCTCCTCCTCGTCACACGGCGTCACAAAAAGTCAGACCTCCCCCCCCCCTCAAATATGACGTCACAAAGCTCTGCCCCCCCCCCCCAAAAAAAATAAAACATGCTTCAAATCGCTTTAAACTATTGTCATTGTAGTGCCTATTTAACGTGGCGCTGCACTCTGATGTTGTAAGAGAAAACATTTATTAAAAAGTCTATTTATTAAGTAGAACGTGTTGTCTATATTTATTTAAAGTTGCGCATTTTCATGTGACGTCACATTTCTCAAACCCACCCCCCCCTTCGTCACACTTCGTCACAAATGACTGACCCCCCCCCACCTCCCCCCTAGGTGCGTGACGTCATTTATGGACGGCCCCTTATCGAGCCTATTCCCATCTCTTCCACGAAGTTCTTAAGTCGGTTGTCTCCTTTTTTTAAAAAGCTGTTTATATAGAGACTCAGACGTTTTGTCGGCTGCTGGTTGAGGCCTACTTGAGCCATGCGGCTCTTCTGCACGCACGGCCACAGCCCAAGACTGTCGGTAACCGCGGCAGTTACAGCGGGCATTGCAGGGAGGCGATGAGCAAACTAACGGGAGCAAATACATTATTGAGGCATCATTCCTTGATGGAGGTATTTCATTTCTACGTTGATGGTTATAGTAAACAGGTCTGATAATTGCGTTATGTAATTTGGTCATGCTTTGTAAATGATATCCACAGTTTTTTTTTCCATCTGGTCCAGGAGCTTTTCCCCTTTTTCTCAGTTACGTTATCTGGTTATTTTTCGATAGTCAAACAAATATCGAATACGAATACAATAAAGCCCAGTCCACAGAGTTCATTCAGAGACATGCCATAAAAACTCAAGTGATAGTGCTTACTGCCTAACCACAACCAAACGCTGTTAACATTGCAAGCAGGCAACAATATGAGCAGCTCAAGATTGGGAATATGCTATAAATAAATCAGGAGGATGTGAGCGCTCTCACCTTGCTTGGTGACCAGTTGTACCAAATCAGCTGGACCTTTGCCCTGCATGCATTCCACAGACTCCATCACCTCCAGGGAATTGCCAACCCGGAGTCCGATGGGATTATCCATCTTACTCAGCACGGCAATTGTGCGAATACCACATTGTGTCCCCACCTCGACCTGTGATTGGGATAGAAATGTATTGCTTTATGTATGCATGTTTAATTTCTTTCGCACCGTACGTAGCCAACCGTGTTAATCGGAGGTGTGGGGGAGGGACAACAAAGGAAATACAAAAAGCTGTTCTCGGGAAATGAGTTTTAAATCTAGATTTAAAAGTGCATAGCTCCAGTGGCTTCTGAATATCGGAAGGAAGAAGTGCATCTGAAAGCGCGTGATGCAGTGACCGTCTTTGCTCGATGGGCAGCCAAAAGCATCATATATACAGATAAGAAACTGGCGAGATCATATTTCAAAGTGGATTGTTAGTGGTGAAAATAGTAACAACCTCACCAAAAGTAAGTTGTTAGTTTTGATCAAACCACTGAGTGGGTAAATTGTTACATATCTATGACGGATGACTGAAAACATTCTGCATTCTGTATGTCAAATTACCCATTATGCTTGCCATAAAGTTCTATTCATTAGCAAATATTTGATACTATATTAACTGAACTGCAGTGATACAGATAAAAATGACGAGATAGTCAAATTTGATAGGCCCTGATATAGTGCTGACAAATGTTATCCAAATATGACAAGTCCATATGAATTTTCACCATTGACAAAGGGTGATGTTGAATAACCCCTTGAGAGTTGAATACTCGTGGGAAGCCCCTTCGGTTTCAGTTGTTCCATGCACACAATGCTCCCCAATGGTGCGTGGCTATCCATTGTATGCTTAGGAAATCGGGCAGTCACGCACATGTATATTGTTAATGATAGCAGCGCGAGGGCCAATAAGCAAAATGATCAGGTCAAAAGTCCAATTGAGTAATTTCGACCTCGCTCATATGCGCTACATATTTACACAACGCGGTTGGCTATGTAAGGTGCAAAAGAAGTTCACTGTACATACATAGTGGAGCAGCCTATAGAGGAGTTATCTGGCCATCGTTTATATACGGATAAACCACTTGTATAACAGATAAGACAATGGCAATGAATAATATACATCAGTGCCGGAGTAAGCTAGCGTGGGGCCTGTAGCATATGATATAAAGGGGCCCTAAATAAAAAAGACGTAAATATTAAAAACACAATTTTTTTACTTGAATAGTAAAGTAATTGTATTTTTTCATTTGCTATACAGCCATATAATACGACAAATCGCTAACCTTAAACACCCAGTAGTTCATAAAAGTTGAAGGCAGCATAGTACTATAGTAATAGAGCAAGTGCAGAATCACTGAACCGGAATTGATAGCTTGAAAGCATTTAGCGCGGGGCCCTTGAAAGTGAGGGGCCTGTAGCTACTACACATGTAGCTACTTTTGCTACTAGGATAATCCGGCACTGATCTACATCAAGTATTTTATTCTAACACAAGTCACTTTAATGTTATTAAAGTAGTTTATTGAGTTGGAAGGTGATAAATATAAAACAGGTAATAAATGCCATTTATTTTCTGTTTGTGTGGCGTTGGTACCATTGATATGGCAAGTTCCCGAGCGGAAGCTTCACTCTTGTAGAAAGCAGCTTTTCCAAATTTCACATCCAGGACCAAGGCAGATAGGTTCTCGCATGCTTTTTTAGAAATTATAGATCCTACAGACGGCAGGGACAGGAATATTAGTTTACACAATGTAAGCATACCGTATATCGTTTCTCAGTTTCTGTTAGAATAATGCATGTGCATTGTTGTTGTGATGTTCGATACCAGTCACGAGTGGGATGCTGTCCACTGTTGATGTCACATCACGGATCCCGTACAGTACTCTGTCTGCAGGAACCAGACTCTCTGTCTGCCCCACAATGCAGCAGCCCACCGTCTCCAAGATATGCAGAATCTAGAGTCAATGAGGCCAGAAAATGTTCCATGAAAACAGTGCAGAGGTTTGCAAAGAATTTAGAAAGTAATAAGGGAGGTACTGTATTTAAACATAATTGCAGTATGATTGTTGCCATTACTGTAAGTGATGGAAATGTTTTTTATAAATTATATTTATAACAATGTAGTAAGCTCAGGGGGCCTCGTTAAGTCATTAACTGGCAGAATTTTAAGAAAACAGATGATCCTACAACTAACCTTGAATATGTTATTCAAATATTGTATGTTATCACCATTGTAGCTAAATCGTGCTACTACGTGGATCAAGATACACACAAAAAAGTAAATATTCTTCTGTAGTATCCACAGAAGAACTCTGCATAACATCCGGGTAAGTTTTACATATAATTTTTTACAATCTTAACCTTATCGGTGCTGCTTTGCACCCAATACTTTGTGTATGTGATGCGCTCCTACGGGCCTTGTATTTTTTCTGCTGGTTGTTGATGCACGACCTTGCCATTTCGAGAGTTGACCATGTACAGTTGTTTTTGGGTTGTTTGGTTGTAACCAGATTGCAACCACATTTCTACTGTGCAACGAGATCCCCATCGAAAATGAGCATGGGGTTAACTGTGCCAAAATAAACCAAACCAAGCCAAATGTCAAGTTATGGCCAGGAAGATAAAACCCACAGAACTACACCTCCAAGTGTTTATTCAATTGTCATGCGTATTAAACAACGTTTTCATTTATACTGTACATGTGTGGTTATTTTCAAAAGCCGTCTTGCCAAGTATGCAATCCATTTTGGTTTAGCAGGCACTGCGTATTTACGCATGCATGTATGTTGAACTTCTTTCGCACCGTACATAGCCAACCGTGTTAATCGGAGGTGCGGGGGGAAAGACAACAAACTAAACACAAACAGCAGTTCCAAAGAAATGAGTTTTCAATCTGGACTGCGTGCAGTGCCAGAATCGGTATCTCCACAACTGTGCAACATTAAACCACTATGAGTTCCCATTTCACTCGTATTATTGCATGCGCGTGGAAGACTAAAGACAAAAACATGCTGTGTGTCACGACGACACTTTTAATCTAGCAAATATAAAAAAAAACTTACGTAGCAGTAGCTTATTTCCCAACAAGTGATGCTGCCATGGTGTAGTGGTTAGCACACTGGACTTGTAAAAGCCAGAGGTCACTGGTTCAGTTAATTATCCAGCCGCAGAAGGCTCAACAATGGAAACCTTTGTCCTGCCAGCAGTGTAAATAGCTACAATACGGATTAATTGATCAGCAGGTTGTGTTTGGTGGGAACGAGTGTGGGTACTTTCACCTCTTCCGAGGCATCTGGCCATCGTGGAAAAGTAGACTAAATACCCTCTAGCGCTCACACTCATCTAGGCTTTTCCACCAGCAGTTGGTGTGAGAAAAGCAAATAATCGCAGGGCTGACCCTTTAGATTTTACCTCAATGCTATATATATTATTTCACCAGGTAAGGCCCTCTGAGCTATATAGCTCTTTTTTGGAAGCGATTTGGCCACAAATGATAGCCCAATTAAGTGACTTATCATGAGGAATTTTATAGCAACCAAATACTCTCGAAGCGTGTTTCTAAATGTGGAGGGAAAAACGGGAGGACCCAGAGAAAAATCCACGCGACCACGGGGAGAACATACAAACTCGAAATATCCAGTAGGCGACAGGGTCAGGATCGAACCCACGACCTCCTGCATGCCAGGCGAGGAAGTTAACATCTCCTAGCCACCGCGGCGACTCAATCACTTGCACAGGGCCTCTGCCGCGGTCACATTCACCTGTTGCTGACTCTGCTGCACACAGAACCCTGGGATGGACTCGAGCTTGTCAAGCGTGCCCCCCGTGTGAGCAAGCCCTCGCCCGCTGATCATCGGCACCTGTTCGCGCGGCATCCCAGGTAAAGTGCGATGAGCGAGTTTAAACATCCCCGCAAAGCACGGTCAGTGGGCCTTTATGTTACTGTACACTGGGTGTCAAATATGCAATTCATGGCACAAAGTAATTGTTACATTTTATAAAGTTAGTAACGTGCTTAGGAACACTAAGGACGTGTGACACAAAGTATAAAATATAGGGTGGGACTGGGGCGCAGTGGTTCCCACACTGCTCATATAACGGGTGAGGGATTAGTAACGAGCAGAGACACAACTTTGTAAAAATTTGACCTTAGACATGGTCCGCTAAACGTGTACGTCATCAGAAACGAACGTGTACGTCATCAGTTTTTCTTCTGATTATTTATGTGTACGTCGTCAAAATGAGACCGAAAGAAAAAAATAAATAAAAATTACTTCATCTGTACTGAGGCTCCCACAAGGCCATGTGGGTGGGCGTGTGGCACAGTTTGGCATCAGCTATCATAGAGTGCGGTCATGTCGCTACAGTTCTTTGCGGTGAGTACAATGTCTTTAAAAACGGCGCCGCAGTGCCTCTCGAAATAAAATTAACGCCGAGCCACTTGCGCGTTCCGAGAGTTAGAGGTGAACGGGACACGCACCCTACAACTTGCAGACGTCTCTTGAATGGGGAAAAAGTAAAACGCAGAGTGGCACACACGAGGACGCGTGAAAGTGACTGCACAAACCTTGCATCCGCAGGCGGCGAGCGCCGGCGCGAGGGACAGGCTCACTTTGTCACCGACCCCACCGGTGGAATGTTTGTCCACCACCAGCCCGTGCCACTCCTTGGGCCACGGCAGGCGTTCCCCTGAGCTCAGCATGGCGCGCGTCAGCACCGCGGTCTCACTCGGGTTCATCCCTTGCAGCCGTATCGCCATGAGCATCGCTCCTGCGCGCGGTAAAAGGAGGACGGACAATTTGTGCCGTTTTTTTACCGGCCAAAAAAATATATACTTACAGTGAGGGAAAAAAGTATTCTGATCCCCTGCTGATTTTGTACGTTTGCCCACTGACAATGAAATGATCAGTCTATAAATTTAATGGTAGGTTTATTTGAATAGTGAGAGACAGAATAACAACAATAAAAAATCCAGAAAAACGCATGTCAAAAATGTTATAAATTGATTTGCATTTTAATGAGGGAAATAAGTATTTGACCCCTCTGCAAAACATGACTTAGTACTTGGTGGCAAAACCCTTGTTGGCAATCACAGAGGTCAGACGTTTCTTGTAGTTGGCCACCAGGTTTGCACACATCTCAGGAGGGATTTTGTCCCACTCCTCTTTGCAGATCTTCTCCAAATCATTAAGGTTTCGAGGCTGACGTTTGGGAACTCGAACCTTCAGCTCCCTCTACAGATTTTCTGTAGGATTAAGGTCTGGAGACTGGCTAGGCCACTCCAGGACCTTAATGTGCTTCTTCTTGAGCCACTCCTTTGTTGCCTTGGCCGTGTGTTTTGGGTCATTGTAATGCTGCAATACCCATCCACGACCCATTTTCAATGCCCTGGCTGAGGGAAGGAGGTTCTCGCCCAAGATTTGACGGTACATGGCCCCGTCCATCGTCCCTTTGATGCGGTGAAGTTGTCCTGTTCCCTTAGCAGAAAAACACCCCCAAAGCATAATGTTTCCACCTCCATGTTTGACGGTGGAGATGGTGTTCTTGGGGTCATAGGCAGCATTCCTCCTCCTCCAAACACGGCGAGTTGAGTTGATGCCAAAGAGCTCCATTTTGGTCTCATCTGACCACAACACTTTCCACCCAGTCGTCCTCTGAATCATTCAGATGTTCATTGGCAAACTTCAGACGGGCATGTATATATGCTTTCTTGAGCAGGGGGACCTTGCGGGCGCCGCAGGATTTCAGTCCTTCACGGCGTAGTGTGTTACCAATTGTTTTCTTGGTGACTATGGTCCCAGCTGCCTTGAGATCATTGACAAGATCCTCCCGTGTAGTTCTGGGCTGATTCCTTACCGTTCTCATGATCATTGCAACTCCACGAGGTGAGATCTTGCATGGAGCCCCAGGCCGAGGGAGATTGGCAGTTCTTTTGTGTTTCTTCCATTTGCGAATAATCGCACCAACTGTTGTCACCTTCTCACCAAGCTGCTTGGCAATGGTCGTGTAGCCCATTCCAGCCTTATGTAGGTCTACAATCTTGTCCCTGACATCCTTGGAGAGCTCTTTGGTCTTGGCCATGGTGGAGAGTTTGGAATCTGATTGATTGATTGCTTCTGTGGACAGGTGTCTTTTATACAGGTAACAAGCTGAAATTAGCACTCCCTTTAAGAGTGTGCTCCTAATCTCAGCTCGTTACCTGTATAAAAGACACCTGGGAGCCAGAAATCTTTCTGATTGAGAGGGGGTCAAATACTTATTTCCCTCATTAAAATGCAAATAAATGTATAACATTTTTGACATGCGTTTTTCTGGATTTTTGTTGTTGTTATTTTGTCTCTCACTGTTCAAATAAACCTACTATTAAAATTATAGACTGATCATTTCTTTGTCAGTGGGCAAACGTACAAAATCAGCAGGGGATCAAATTCTTTTTTTCCCTCACTGTACACACTCAAATACTGTGATAGTAATTCGGCACAGTTGGTGTTCATGGCCATAGTTATGAGGCGATCGGACAAGGTGCCAGGTTTTACAGATGGGCAAAGTCTGCCAGCAGGGGATGGTGTCGCAATGTCGGCTTCCCAATTAAGTAATTTTGCAAGTTGTTTTTATTAAACGTTGCAAATTTAACATCCACTGCGAAGCAGACGGTGTGATCCTCTGGTTAACGCACCCGCAGTATCAACTACAACCACCTTCATCAGGCGATTTTCCAGAATCGCCCCATTGCCTTAACCACCAGCGAAACGTCGTTACTCAAATTGTAAGTGCTGTGGGTCTACTCTCCAACGCAGCGACTTGCTGCAGTCGTGACTAATTGGCACGTTTTCTTTACGTGACAAACCTTGCTAATTGGATGTGTCGGGTGGTGATGGGTTCGCGACACATTTATATTTACGTGATCAAACCCCAACCACCTTTATTATGGGTACGAAAGAAGTTCAACAAACATACAGCAGAATCCCTTTTAGCGACGGTAATTGATTCCACGAAACCGGTCGTTAAGCGATTTGGTCGTTAAGCGAGTATAGGAAGTACACGTTAAAGGCTTAATATGTTCCGATAGCATTGAAAGTTATCCTTTTTTACCCAAAAAAAACGTACTTTATAATATTTAAACAATGGATATTAACACATAAATATACTAACAACATTATAAACACATAATATTAAAAGAAACATGGTTAATCAATGCATCACATAATATTTACTGTACCCACGACAGCCCGTCGTTAAGAGGGGAAATGGTCGTTAAGTGAACACATTGGGCTCTATGGAGGCCCGTCGTTAAGCGATTAGTCGTTAACAGAGGTGACCGTCAACAGGGGTTCTACCGCATGTACACATGTCACCGCCACCATACATGAGTGGTGACTCTGCTCACGTACCGATTTGGCTCTCCTGTATGGTCCCCTTCGCCACTCCTTGAACAAAGAACTCGATGTCCGCGTCCTTCAGGACACCGCCGTCCCGTTTAATGCGGATAATCTCGGGGATCTGAGGAGCCGCAGCCATCTGCAAGCAACGAGGGAGTTAGCACTTGATCTCATGCTGGGCGCGCGTATTATTTGAGTTCTCATTTATATTGAGGTTATAATAAAAACACCGGTTGAAATGAAAATGATGTTACAAGTCATAATCGTACCCCCCACTCTTCAACCTCCCCCCCCCCTCCATTAATTTGGAGCTACAGAGAAAATACATATATTGGAAAGTATATTTTAGCAGCCCTTTACAAACATCTCATACAAGCATAATTTAGTCTCATAAAAAGTTAATGATTATTTTGCAGCAAGTTTGGTGACAAAAGTACATAGCTCAGATAAAAATAAAAACTGTCGGAAGAGAAGTAATGGATCGTGGCATCGGCAGGATCTTGAGAGATAGCTATGATGTAGGGAGCGGACTTTATACAGCATTGGATAGACCAGAGCTGACGTTTAAGCAAAAAGGCTAGCTGCATTTAGATAACAGAATTAGTTTTTAATCGGAGTTAACCCCGAAACCGATATTGACTTTCGGTCGTCGAACCGAAGATCTATTTTTAGAATATAACGCTAGTGCTACGTCTATATCTGCCTACCAGCCGGTCAGTCGGCGCTAGGCAATCCTATGCGATAGGCTGCAAACACACACACACACGTCAGCAGCAGCAGCTTGAGAGCGAGGTTACAGCTGTAGAGGTGTTAACCACGCACTGTTCGGTAACCTGCATTGCTACCAGGTATCAAGGGGGCACTGCAGCGTTACCTCGGGGTACATAACGGTTGGGGTCAGACGAGGTGAAGTGGATCGTAGCCACAGTTTAGGGAGAACCAATCAGCCAGTTCCACGTGGGAATGTGTGATTGGTTATACCTGGCCACGAACGAGTATAAGAAGGGTGACCCAACAGAGCTCGGGGAGTTCTCTCCCTACACGAAGACTGAAGCCCGGGCTGAAGACTAGCCAGGACCCTGAACCAGCCTTCCAGCCCTTTTGAGGGCTAAGGCTCGGCATACCCAGTGGTCAGGACCCACCGGGCCAGCGGTGGGTCAGATAGCCTCCCCTAGGTCCAAGCCGGAGGACTCTAGGCTAGGATAGCGGTAGACGTGTAAGTCCCGCCAAGTCCGGAGGCTGTACCTCCTTAGGTATCAAGGAGGTTAGCGGTAGACGTGCAAGTCCCACCAAGCTAGGAGGTTAGCGGTAGACGTGAAAGTCCCGCCAAGCTAGGAGGTTAGCGGTAGACGTGCAAGTCCCGCCAAACTATGAGGCTGTACCTCCCTAGGGTATCGGGTGAGGGGACCGAATATCCCTCTTGTGTGTGTTAAGGATTGCGTAAGGAACAGTTACAATGAACAGAGTGTGCCTCCTAAGAAGTTTACTCGTCTTTACAACACTACACAGCCACAACCATGGTCTGCTAATGTCAACAGGTGGCAGTCTGCATCTGCATCCGTGGATGGAGTCTCTTTGGCAGGACGACAACAAAGTGCCTCTGCTGTCTTCCCAGCTGCCTGCCCGCCTTGGCTTTTGTGTGTTGCGTTCGCTTAAGTCTACACGTGTGTTGATACCGAGATTCGAAGTCTGACAATATTGATATTCAGTTAGTTAATAGTTCCGTAGCGAATTAGTGATAACGAAATTACGAATCTTGAGTGGAGTAGCAGATTAAAGTGAATAAACGGAGCAGTTAATCACCGTGAAGAATGTCGAAACATGCGGTGTGGGATGACTTCACGAAAGTCGATTATGATCAAAGCAAGAAGCAGCAACCTGCTGGGCGAGAATGCGGAAAAACTGTTGTTTCTTAACTACAATATTCGTTTGTTTGGATATAATTACTAAGTAAGTAACACCTAAAGATTTGATATTTAGCGACTCTTACTGCATGCTCTGAATGATTAGTTCTAGATTTATTTTTAATTAAAGTATTGCATCATGACATATTTCATAAATCTTGTGTTCGGTAACTTCGGTTATGTACCTTTCTGTTTCGGTCTCGGTCCAAAGTGAAGTTTAACTTTCGGTTTCGGCCGAAAGTCAATGTTTAACTTTCAATGTTTAAGTTAACCAGAAATTCAGTTTCGGTCGGTCTCTAGCGTCGGTATTCTTTAACATTTCACTTTAAAACAAGTGTAAATTACGTTGCTCACTGATAACTTGGAGAAGTTTGATTTTTTTGACATCCTCACCACATTGACCCCACAAATGTTTCGACACAACGTAGGAAAGAGTGTACGACCAACGCAATATACTGTAAAAAAATCATGATTATTAGTGTTGCTTGTTTAAAGAATACACAATTACGAATTGAAAAAAAAACACGCGTTAAGTCGTTTCACATGGTACAAATGTCATTCATATGTCCTCCAAGTAATAAAAGAAAGTGACTCCTCTACTTACGAACATTCGACTTATGAACTTTCAGAGATATGAACAAACCTGTCCATACTAGCTTTCTTTGCACGTCCAAGGACGGGTGTAATATTGCAGTAAATCAGAAATATTGAATATAAAAATTGTTCAGCTTATGATTATTAATGAGGGGCGGGGGGGGTTGCCCATGTGGAGTGACGTCACCCGCCAATTATTATTGGGGAGGGGTGCGGCATGTGGAGTGACGTCACCCCTTCATGGTTATTGTGGAGGGGTGTGGCATGTGGAGTGACGTCACCCGCTCATGATTATTAATGAGGGGAGGGGTGCGGCATGTGGAGTGCGTGACCTTGTGCGTTCGTGTAAATTTCCACGCGGGCATGAATATTAATGAAGGGGGGGAGGTGCTCTTTTGCAGTGACGTCAGGCACGGATGTAGCACTGTGCTGCGTAGATTTATTTTTTACCGTCACTTTCTATAAAGAAACGTATTTTAAGCGACTTTGCGTAATAAATTATTTAATTCAGCTCGACCTTCCTCTGCGTTAGCGTAAAAATCCACCCACTCATGAATATTAATGAGGGGGGTGGGCCTCATGTGGAGTGACGTCACGCGGGGGGTTGGCCTCATGTGGAGTGACGTCACGCGCGGGACGGACAGACATTTCTGGGTGATTATAGGTAATGTCCAGTTCCAGCTGTTCACGATGTTATTGCTTATTACAAGTTAATTCATGAAGAGAAGAAGAGAACATCTCTTGATACGTTTTTCAAGAGGGTAGAGAGGAAACACGAGCATCAAAGGGAATTAGCATCTACATCTGCAGAAGATGAAGAACCAGTGGCATCTACTTCTGCAGAACATGAAGAACCAGTGGCATCTACATCTGCAGAAAATTAAGAACCAGTGGCATCTATTTCTTTGGAACATGAAGAACCAGTGGCATCTACATTTGCAGAACATGAACAACCAGTGGCATCTACATTTGCAGAACATGAAGAACCAGAGGCATCTACATCTGCAGAACATGAAGAACCAGTGGCATCTATTTCTGCAGAACATGAAGAACCAGAGGCATCTACAACTACAGGAGATTATACAACTTTTAAAGCCAATCCCCGTGTTTAGTGTAAACGCCGTACAACATGTTTGGAATCGACAGGAGTAAAATTGGACTTACGAACATACTTCTCAAACCTAGCTCGTTCGTAAGTAGAGGAGTCCCTGTACACATTTCATCCGGGGTGTATCCGGAAATCAATTCTGCACCCGGCACACCACATTCAGTACACATCTCGATGTGGCTGCGTTTGCTACCACGCGTGCAACTTATTCCAGGAAAAAAAAAGTTGTCGTGAGAAATTTAGCCTCTATCAAAGAATCGCCAAACTGCAACTGTGGTGAAGCCCAAATCATCAAACGCATCGCCGCCGAGTTCGCCATCCACGCACGCACGCACGCTGGCGATATCGCTGTAGTCCACACAGGGTCTACCGCTGCCTTGGATTGGATTGATGAGGGCCTGCCCATGCCATGGGGAAGTGGAGAGCATAGACGTGGGAGCATCGAAGCGCAGCACAACAATGCATTTTTTTTGCTGCACTTTCCTCTGCCCTTCACAGTGTAGCAACAGCCTCGAAGACGAAGACGCCTACGGGAATGTGCTGCACTCTCTGTACACGGTGGTCAGCTACCCGAGAAATAATCGTGGCTCAACTTCTGCTTTTCCCCCCTCCCGAGATCTGAGAAGATTGAGCGCCTCATGGGCGTGAAGAATGCTGACATACATTACAAATTGTTACAGAATTTGAAATGCGGACGAAACGCAAGTAATTTAGGACGGTATAAGTATCTTCTTGTAAAATGGTATGACAGGAGTAGAGTGAATTATATGTGTGTGTTAAATTCCCCGCTGGGTTAGAGTAACACATGCACGAGAGAGCAGTGTCGCCTATTGCTGTTATTACATTACAACATGCCTGGCCAGCGTGAAAGAGGAAGTCAAAGGGACCATCCAGATTCTAGAAGCTGGAGGCGAGCTCCCTCAATACACAAGCTGGGAGGCCCTTTCGCCAGCAGTGGCGTGAACAGGAAATTGCAGGGCTGCGCATTATTTATTTACCTTGTTATAAACTATTTGAGAATTTAGAACTGGAAAAAATATATATAACGGACTTAGTTTTCAATTTCCAATTATTGTTTATATATACACACACACGCGTGACATGCTGTGCAATAAACTTTACCATGTAGTGAGGACATACGGTACAGTGGTGGGGATTAACACAATTCATGATGAACAAATTCTGCCTGGCGATGGAGGAAGACTTCTACAACTCAGGAGGTAACACAACACACAAGGCCTTTCATCCCATCAAGAAAACAGCTTTATAATAGTTTGTAACAAATGTACTGTAACTGAAATATACTTGTTGAATGGGGTGATGAATACAGTACGTGGAATTAAAATGAGAAAGAGGAACACATGTGCGATGTGAACATTCCAAAGTACATTACATCGTTCAAATTGTTAAGAAAAGTGTGGTTTGGGCAGGACAAGTCTTGGGCTTGACACGTCTTGGCTAGGAGGGCCGACGGCCAAGCATAATGACAGCGACTCATTCCAGGAATACAGAACTATTATCCGCGACCCTATTAGCCGCGACTCCTATTATCCGTGACAGCTGTAACGTTCGAGAAAACTAACACTGTTGTCCGCATTTCTTTCTACTTTCCGCAACCATCTGCCAATTTGCTCATTTTGCAAAGCGAAGCTGCTTCTTCGTACTCACGATTGATCGCGGATAAGAGGAGTCATGCCGAAAATTCACTCCCAATTCCCGCAGGTTATCCGCGATTTTTTTTGTTAAAGAAAGCGCGCTGCGTCCAAAGCGAGTGTAACTGTTGGAACTTGCTTTGATTGCGAGACAACACGGATAAGACAAAGATCTCCCGTATATTTCAGTTTATTTATTTTGGTATAGCCCTGTGAGCCATTCGGCTCTTGAATCGGATGCTAACCACAACAAACAAACACGAACAAGAAAAACATCTTAAAGTGACTATGTGACTGTGCAAACAGAAAATCCATGAAAAAAAACCCAGCAAAATATTCCTGACAAAAGCACCGTACACCAACGCTGTGTGCAAAAAAATCCCAGACTGTTGCGGCAAGACCTGGTAGCGAGTAAACATGAAGGTCGGAACGGCACACGAGGGGGTGGGTGGCCAACACCACGCCCGGCCGCCTTTGTCTCCCTAGTGGCGATGTTTACACGCCACACTAGGTACTCATTTGAGGCCGAGTCGACCTAGGGGAGGCCCAAGACCGGTTCAGATAAACATCACTGGTGGTTGGCCGTGAGCGGGAATCGAACCCGGGTCGCCAGGTTCGTAGCGCACCATAGCGCTAACCGCTATACTATCGTTCCCCCAGTACCAAGAAGACACTCGCATCGAGAGGGGGAGATGCTCACAGAGACACGACAATTGCACAGAGAAAGAGACGGGAGAGACAGGGAAACACTCCTTTCTGTGTGCCGGGCTTGGGCAGGACACAGAACACGCGTAGAAGAGACTCCCGTACTGCAAAACACATGAGCAAGCAGGAATCGTGCAGTAAATGAATGATTAATTAATGATATTATCCGCCATCGGATAAGAGGAATACAATTCGCGGCTGCTAAGACGGAGTTATTTCATAAAACGTCTGAGATGTTCAGCCAGCGAGGAGATGGAGGCTGAGTCATCAACGTTGCTGTGCAGGTGGATTGTTTCATTTCGAAGTGCATGGCAGATGTGGCCGTCGTGTTAACCAAAACAATGGAATTGACTACTTGACTGCCCCGGTCACCAGTGCCAGACAGACCATGGAGCATGTAACCCAACAAACAACGCGTGCCCACGGATAATAAACCAGCGACATACGTACACCAAACCTCCAGAGAGGCTATCGAATAGCTTGATTACAGTGAGCGAAAAAAGTATAGTATTTGATCCCCTGCTGATTTTGTACGTTTGCCCACTGACAAAGAAATGATCAGCCTATAATTTTAATGGTAGGTTTATTTGAACAGTGAGACAGAATAACAACAAGAAAATCCAGAAAAACGCATGTCAAAAATGGTATAAAATGATTTGCATTTAATGAGGGAAATAAGTATTTGACCCCCTCTCAATCAGAAAGATTTCTGGCTCCCAGGTGTCTTTTATACAGGTAACGAGCTGAGATTAGGAGCACACTCTTAAAGGGAGTGCTCCTAATCTCAGCTTGTTACCTATATAAAAAGACACCTGTCCACAGTAGCAATCAATCAATCAATCAGATTCCAAACTCTCCACCATGGTCAAGACCAAAGAGCTCTCCAAGGATGTCAGGGACAAGATTGTAGACCTACACAAGGCTGGAATGGGCTACAAGACCATTGCCAAGCAGCTTGGTGAGAAGGTGACAACAGTTGGTGCGATTATTTGCAAATGGAAGAAACACAAAAGAACTGTCAATCTCCCTCGGCCTGGGGCTCCATGCAAGATCTCACCTCGTGGAGTTGCAATGATCATGAGAACGGTGAGGAATCAGCCCAGAACTACACGGGAGGATCTTGTCAATGATCTCAAGGCAGCTGGGACCATAGTCACCAAGAAAACAATTGGTAACACACTACGCCGTGAAGGACTGTAATCCTGGAGCGCCCGCAAGGTCCCCCTGCTCAAGAAAGCACATATACATGCCCGTCTGAAGTTTGCCAATGAACATCCGAATGATTCAGAGGACAACTGGGTGAAAGTGTTGTGGTCAGATGAGACCAAAATGGAGCTCTTTGGCATCAACTCAACTCGCCATATTTGGAGGAGGAATGCTGCCTATAACCCCAAGAACACCATCCCCACCGTCAAACATGGAGGTGGAAACATTATGCTTTGGGGGTGTTTTTCTGCTAAGGGGACAGGACAACTTCACCGCATCAAAGGGACGATGGATGGGGCCATGTACCGTCAAATCTTGGGTGAGAACCTCCTTCCCTCGGCCAGGGCATTGAAAATGGGTAGTGGATGGGTATTCCAGCATGACAATGACCCAAAACACGCGGCCAAGGCAACAAAGGAGTGGCTCAAGAAGAAGCAGATTAAGGTCCGGGAGTGGCCTATCTAGTTTCCAGATCTTAATCCCATAGAAAATCTGTGGAGGGAGCTGAAGGTTCGAGTTGCCAAACGTCAGCCTCGAAACATGAATGACTTGGAGAAGATCTGCGAAGAGGAGTGGGACAAAATCCCTCCTGAGATGTGTGCAAACTTGGTGGCCAACTACAAGAAACGTCTGACCTCTGTGATTGCCAACAAGGGTTTTGCCACCAAGTACTAAGTCATGTTTTGCAGAGGGGTCAAATACTTATTTCCCTCATTAAAATGCAAATCAATTTATAACATTTTTGACATGCGTTTTTCTGGATTTTTTGTTCTTGTTATTCTGTCTCTCACTGTTCAAATAAACCTACCATTAAAATTATAGGCTGATCATTTCTTTGTCAGTGGGCAAACGTACAAAATCAGCAGGGGATCAAATACTTTTTTCCCTCACTGCACCTCGCTATGTACACGGTTGTCCAGAAGTATTGTGACCCCCCCCCCCCCCGGCTTTTTTGCCTTTCGCTCATTCATTTCCGTTTTTGCACCCATCGGCATGCAACGATTATTATGTTTTAGAGAATTAAGTGGGGGAGGTCACGAGACATCTGGATTACCCTGCACACAATAAATCTTGCCAACCACACTTTCCGTTTCGAAAGAAGCCCGTTGCATCGCTGCACCCGTGACCAGATGTCCGACGGTTCAGGCAGCCCTTCATCCAGCAGTCGATGGATCATGGCGATGATGGTAAAACTCACCTTTTCGGTGTCGTGGTGGTCAGCAGTTGAGAGGACAAGCTTCTGGGAGTCGAGTTGTAAGTTAAAGGTTAACCGCACTTCTCCGCAGAGCACCCAGCGTTTGGAGAAAGCGGAAGGGAGGCGTTTTTTTGGGTGTCCTCACTGAACAAAAACGCCCTTTGGCCGACCAATTCGCGTCCCAGCAAACTACGCGCAGCCAAAAACAGAAATAGCAGCGATGTGGGCGCATTTTTCTTTGACTTTGCGATTTGTAATCGCTGTGGTCAAAGCCATGTCCAAATACCGTAACACCCTCTCCCCTACCCCCCAGATCTGCTCTAAAAACCGCGTCTCTCAAACGCGCTGGTGTTCAGCCAGCCACATCTGACATTCCCTTTTCATTGGTTGTTGTTGTTGTTTCAATTCCCGAGCACTCACTGCTCGACGATTTGGAATTTCCCTGCCCATCGCCTCTCCCCATCGAAGTGCTTAAACAGCCTTGCTCAATGCGAGAAAAGGTGTGAATTAACTCTTGTTTGAACCTATTGTTTTTATTATCTGTTGTAACTTGAACAGCGCTGTTTGTCGCTTGGCCATTAATTTTGTCGCGTGGGTTATTTTGAGCTTGTTGTACTCCAGCAAATGTTGTTACATATTTTTGTCGTTTCGGCAGCTAAGCAGCGTTGAACCCGTGTATATGTTGGATGGATAACCACCATGCGTACATGCATCACGTTGTTTGTCATCAGGCCGCTTAAAGTGTTGTGGACAGCGGGGGAGAGTTGTGTACAATTCCATTGTTACTACACTTCGACTAAACGTCCAATGCTGCCCGGCTTCACCAACCCTGCACTTACCAGCGTGGCAAAGTATGGCCAAATAAGCGCCACACGGCGTGTGGTCGAGGTGATGATCATGCAGCAGTGGATAGACACTGGCTGACGACGACGCACGTGCTCCTACTCTCGTAATCAGCCAGCGTGCATCCACTGCGGGATGAAGTTGCCCACGTCCCCACGCCGCCTAACCCCTCTCGCCACGACAGCGCTCTGCATCGGAGCGATTCGTCTCGCTCCTGCTCATGAGTTTGCGTCTCATCATCGCAGCTGCGTCTCTGCGGGGGTGGTGATTCCTTCTCGTCTCTTGTTTCGAAATTTCGTCAGCAGCCGCATCCGTTAACAGTCTTTCCTACCTTCTCACCGAAGACGCTGTATATTCCCTGCCTAAGTCAAGCTCATTGTTGTGAACAGTCCGTGTCCAATGTGCGTTTGCTCACAGATTCCCCCGTGGTTTTTTTTAAATGGATTGTTGTTACACTGCATATCAGGGCAACCCTAACTCGTTCAGCAACACCGTAGCATGCATTGGCAATGACAAAGGGCATATATCGGAAACTATTGTTTTGTCAACATACAGGTTCTACCAGTGAATGCATTCACCCCTTTTAAAAATATGTATACAGTATCCATACCTCTGAACCCCTTATCAGTGCTGCCTACCATATTACAGACCAATTCAGACCTTATAGATCACCCCGTGCCTTATACAACTCAAAGTTCATCCTTCAAAGTCTCATTCACAAGGGAGAATCACAAACAGCTAGACAAAAACATTGGTTTTACTCAATTCCCCTGTACAAGAACACGGGTAAAACGTATGGGTTGACAGGTATGAGTATCGATTGCAATCTACCGGAATAATATCTTGAGTTGTACGATATCTTCATCAACAGTGTGTGTCCCGGGCGTGGAGTTGACACGTCGCTGCATAGAGAACGATGTTTTACTGGTAGGAACGAAGTTGTAAACTGAGTGTACCAGCCTGCAATAGATTAATGTGTCCGTCCGTCCGTCCCCTTTCAATACTTTAACGAAGTGAAATCTCGTGCTGTTGGGTGTAAAATCAGCAATAGACAGAGGCAGAGACTTGATATGTCTTATTGCACCCAACATTTGGACGTAACAATGTCATAAAATTGCGCAAAATTCCAATGTTCTTACGAGCCCACCCTGCAGGGACCTGTTTCGCTCAAAATGCGTTGTGGATATTCAGTGGCGCGACAAAGCAATGCTCCACGTGCAACTTGTCAGGGCGCCTTTCGCGATGACGTGCCAAGGCGCCTTGCGTGAAAATGAGAGAAAAGTATAAAAGGAAGGAATAACCTCAGGGGGAAATAAAGAGCCAAAGAGGAACGACGTTTGTTGTGATTAGGAAAAGAAAAAAAAACGGTTTAGAAAAGTTTGGGGACCTGAAACTTTGCCTGTATGATATAATTTTACTTTTTAAGGCCATCTGTTATTGACGGATGTGTTAAGATTGTTGTGTTGCATAGTATATTGCAGTGCATTGCAGTATTATAATTAGGGTTATATATAACCAGTAACGTAATGCAGAATTAATATGAATATATTACTGGTATTTTCCAACGAGGGCTTGTAATGTAATGCATGTATAACCGTTAGTGTTGAAAACCGCATTTATATTAAACTCACGTGAATGTTATTTTATGTTTGTAATAGTATTCTATCTTTCCAATACACCGGTGTGCTGAACAAGTAACCAATTGGTATGTTTTGTTTACGTGACAAACCTTACGAATTGGCTGTTGGGTGGCGGCGGGTTTAACGACACATAATTACGCGATCTCACCCGAAAACCTCTAATATGGATCTTTGTTATATTATGTTTTCTGCCACACTGTCACCCTTGCCTTTTTTAGAGAGGTGTGGATCCTGAATACTGTACATTCTTTAAAAAGTTTACTTTGTTTCCTGAAACGTATGCTCTCCTTGACGTCTCTTTTAGTGTACCACTGGGTATATTTTGACTTAAAACTTTCGTGGCTGCAGGAATTAATATTCTTGGTTCTTTCGGTAAAGTCACGTAGATAGAAAATAATAATAAACTAAAATTGAAATTAAAAAAATTCATTAAAAAAATATTTAAATGTTTTTTCTATCTACGTGACTTTACCGAAAGAACCAAGAATATGAAACAAATTCATTCAAATATTTATATTTATTTTTATTCATTTTTTCTTTAAGTTTATTTTTAATATACGTGACTTTACCGAAAAAAACAAGAACACTGGGTATATGTTACACTTTCAACGTTAACCTTTATAATGCTGATTGAATTCCGTAAGTGTCCATGTTTACGATTGTGTCGTTCACCTCTACAAATATATACTTTAAAATATAATTCATTGCTGTGGTTCGTGTTACAAAACCTTGATACGTCGTGTTGAACTTGACCGATTATTTGTTACCAAAGGACGTTGTATGTGAAAGATTGTATTATCCGTTCAAACAGGGTATTATTATTTCAACAAATATTTTATGGGATTAAGAGTCTTTGGCAAGAAAGACATAGGTTACGTACAAGAAGAATAAGAACACGTATAACATGAGCACAGGAAAAAAATGCAACTTAAAATATAAAGCACAAATTACGTTTCTTCACAGGGGATTATGCCAAAAAGAATATCTGGAAAACCTAACTTAGTACAGGTACCATAAAGACATTTGAAATTATTTAAAAAAAAAACAATTATAGTAGAACTGCATAATTCGTAAACAACGGTGGTGTTTAATCCCCGCCTCAAGGCACGTGTATTGCCTCTGGCTTTCGTTGCACTTAATATACTTCTAAGTTTCTCCTCCCCTTGGCCAACACTTGATTTATTATGATGTATTGTGCCATAATTACTTTGTAAAAAAAAAGGTCTCTTTAGAAATGTAATTTATTATTGACACCTGTCTGCACTATTATAAACGTGGGATTGGTAAATTGTTTAGTCGACACTAATCCACACATTTCTCGATTGTAATTATTAACCGGACAAAGAAGCAATGGTAAACACGGTTACCGCAATAGAATATGTCTCACCACTTCCAGCGAAATTACTATTTTTATCTGCACGTTTGCATGGATAACAGTATGCGTGATGGATGTACTTTTGGGAGACCACTTTAGTATCCAATCGTGGTCGTCATAAAATGCGTGTGTAAACATGGCAACATTGCAGTGTGAATTGGCTACCGCTTTCAGTATACGTATTCCTCTTACACGTGGCAATGAATAGTAATTAATAAAAAAAAAGGCTGTGCATGTATAATATGTGCAAGTACTAGCTGGTTGAAAAGTACTTGGCTTGTTTATACGGGCATTGTGTTCACTGTTGAACTGCCAATCATCCAGCAGTGGATAAATACTGCCTGATGATGACAACACAGAATGGGTTTGAGAATACAAAACGTGCGAGCATGTATTACTAACGCAGTGTATACATGTTAAGGGTGGCTGGTGGAAAGTCAAAATGTATGTGCCCTGCCGAATGAATTAGTAAGGGCCAACAACATCGAAGCCACACAACATTGTGGCAGAAACTCGGGATGTTGTTGATGTATTCTGCTGCAGTGATTGCCACACTGCAGGTTTGAACAGGCAATGCTTGAACATTGCCACTGGGCGGCGTGGAAGCCCTGCTCAGACAATGCCGAGCTCATTGCACACATCCAGCATTTGTCAACATCACTTGCCTTGGTTTCACACGGAGGCTTTCGCGACCAATATCATCCACAATAGAGGTTTTTTTTGGGTTAGATCCCGTAAATAAATAAATGTGTCGTTAAAACCTGGCTGTCGCCTGATGAAGCTAGTTGTAATTACTGGCGAAACGTCGTACTCAGATTGTAAATATTGTGGTTTGGCTCTCCAACACACCGGTGTGCTGTACTAGTGACGAATTGTCCACGTTCTGTTTATATGACAACACTAACTAGTTGGCTGTGTTGGGTGGCGGCGGGTTCAACGACACATTGATGTATTTACGCGATCTAACCCCCCAAAAAACCCTCTGTTATGAACACTGCCTTACGACAACAAAAATCTAGACATATAGAAATCTACGCAACGGGCAATGGCCCTCTTTAGAGCACATGGAGAGGGCCATTTGCCCGAAACGTCGTCTATTATATACTTTTTAATCAGCGTCATCGACGAATGTGTTCGAGTTTTGTTCGTTCATTGTGCTTTCTGCACCACTGCCAACCGCAGCAGCATCAGCAAATTATCTGATTACGCCTTGTGCATATCCAGAAGGTAAAATCATCATTATTATTATGAGCAAATATGCAAACGCGTTCTGCTTTGGCTACTGTCATTTCCCTACTGCTAATACCCACGGAACTCATGAGGACAAACACGTTGGAAAACGTGAATACTGCATAAGTGTATATCCACGCATGCACATGCATGTTTTTTCTTCCTTGTCGTTTTATAATACGCCCACGGAATAGCATTTATTGCATGTGGTCGGAATTATACATAACCTCC